TATACTTCTGACCTCTATTATTTATCTCCATATCTCTCATTTTTATTCTGTTTCCTGAAAGCAACATATTGTTGAATTCAGATTTTTAATCCATTCTGCTATCTGTTTTATGGGTAAATTTATCCCATCTGCATTCTAAGCTATATTTATTTGTGTTTTTCCCTCCTTCCTATTTTTACCCTATCCCTACCTGCTACCTTGCCCTCCTATTCCTTAATCTACCCAGCCCTGCAAGAGTCCTTCCCTTATCCTCTCCCCCACTTTCCACCTTAATCTACCTCTAAGAGTTTCTCCCCCCTTCAAATTCTTAATCTATATACCCTTCTAAAAGTCCCTCCCTTATCCTATCGCTAGCCCTCTTTTTTCTTTCTAAATTTAGAAGACATTTATTCTCTTTTACCCTTCTAAATGCGTATGTTGTTCCTTCTTTGACACATTTCTGATGACAGTAAGGTTCCAGCACTAGCAGCCCTCCCCCCTCCACTTATTTCTTCTGTATCAATTCTTCCTTTCATGCCTTATTGGTATTGAGTCCCTTATGATTGCTCTTTAGTGTTTACCTTATATTTCTTCTGGATCTTACATGTCAAATTTTCCATTAAGTTCTGCTCTTTTTGTCACAAATTCCTGAAAGTCTTTCACCATTAAATATTCTTTTTTATCCATTCAGGATTATACTTAATTTCACTAGGTTGTTACCCTTGGTAATATTGTAACCCCAGCTCTTTTGCTCTACGAAATATAGTGTTCTAATACCTATTGTCCTTCAACATAGAAGCTACTAGGTCTTGTGTAAACCTGATTGTAGCTCCTTGATATTTAAATTGTTTTTTTTTTCTTGTTGCTTGCAATATTTTCTCCTTAACCTGGGGGTTCTGGAACTTGACTGTGATATTCCTGTAAGTTTTCCTTCTGGGATCTCTTTCAGGTGGTGATCAGTGGATTTTTTCTATTTCTATCTTACCTTCTTCTTCTAAAACTTCAGGAAAATTTTCCTTAATAATTTCTTGCAATATTGTATCAAGATTCTTTTTTTTTGATCATAGCTTTCATTAGTCCTATAATTTCATGTAGTCCTACAATTCTTATATTCTCTCCTTGATCTATTCTCCAGCTCAGTTGTTTTTTCTGTTGAAATGTTTCACACTCTCTTCTATTTTTTTCCTTCTTGTGGTTTTGTTTTATTATTTCTTGGTGTCTTATAATGCCATTAGCTTGCCTTGCCCAATTCTAGTTTTCAAGGAATTAATTTTCTTCTTTAAGTTTCCAACTCTCTATTTCCAATTGGTTGACTTTCTTCAGTAAACTTTTGTACCTCCTTTTCCATTTGGCCAATTCTGCTTTTTAAGGAATTCTTCTCCTCATTAGCTTTTTGGACCTCTTTTGTCATTTGAGTTAGTTTATTTTTTAAGGTGTTATTTTCTTCAGTATTTTTTGGGTCTCCTTTAGCAAGCTGTTGACTCATTTTTCATTATTTTCTTGCATCACTCTCTTTTCTCTTCCCAATTTTTTCCTCTACTTCCCTTACTTGATTTTCAAAATCTCTTTTGAGTTCTTCCATGCCCTGACACCAATTCATATTTTTCTTGGAGGCTTTGGATGTGGGAGCTTTGACTTTGTGTGATTCATTGGAGTTGGCCTGGAGGTGTTCATACTTCACTCAGGCCAAACCTCCCCCCTGGAGGTGGAGTCTTTCTGGGGTCTTCTCAAGTTGTCTTAGGACAACAACTGCCCACCCTGATTCCTGTTTATTTCTGCTACTCTACTTTCACTCTGAGGCAATGTTCTGTCTATTTTTAGAAGGAAATTTGGAAAGCTGAAAGTTTTCTGAGCTACTCTGCCATCTTCCCAGAACATAATTCATTTTCAAAGTTTATGAGAATAATAACATTTTAGAGGTGGAAGAGTCCTAGGAAATTTTTGAACCCAGCCTTCTCATTTGACAGAAGAGGAAACTGAGACTTAGGAAACAGAAGTCAATTACTTAAGTGAATTAAGGATAAAGCCAGCACTAGAATTCAGGTCTCATTATTATCAGTCCAGTGCTCTTTCCACTAAATCCTGCTTCTAACTATAATTAATACAAGGCATCATGTGATAACTGCCCAATAAGAGGTATAAACAGAGAACTGTAGGCATGAAGTAGAGTCAAAGATGAGAAAATATATCCTATTCCTTTGAGGTAGTGCTCATGGAGGACAATCCAATCTTCCCACCACTATTTTCCTTAGTGAACCCATGCTGGCTCTTAGTGATCATAATCTCCCTTTCTAAGGCTTCCCCAAAAGTCCTTTTAATAATATATGCTGAACTTGGAAGATCATCATTAAGACCCCTGGTTTGAAAGTTTTGAAATCTCTTTTTTCCCCCATTTTTGAAAATCAGCCATTTGTCAGAAGGCTGATGAATGACTGACCATACCAATCCCAGTATTCTTTTTAATAGCTTATTATTTTTATTCTTCAAGTAGCAGTATTATTTATTAATCTGCCTCTCCCACTCCCATCATTGAACAAATTGAAAAAGAAAAAAAATCCTTCAATACAAATTCTCACATTAGCCGTTTCCAAAAATGCATTTTTGGGATTAAAAGTTCTGAATTTTAAGTTTGCCACCTCTCTTTCAGAAGATGAGTGGTAAATTTCATCTACATTCTTTTGGGCTTGTGGTTTTTCATTGTGTCAATTAGAGTTCTAAAGTTTTTCAATGTTGTTTTTCTCTGTAAGGTGGTTGTTGTTATTGAGTCATTTCAGTCATGTCTAGCTCTGTGATACTATCTGGGGTTTTCTTGGCTAGAGTGGTTTGCTGTTTCCTTCTCCAGCTCATTTTGCAGATGATGAACTGAGGCAAACAGGATTAAATGATTTGCCCAGGGTCACACAGCTAGTCAGTGTATGATGCCAGATTTGAACCCATGAGTATAGCTCTTCTTGATTCCAAGCCCAGTGCTCTATCCACTGTGCCAACCAACTGCCCATAAAATTGTTACCATTTTATACATTTTCTCCTAGTTCTGCTCACTTTATACCAACTGAAAGCTTCTCAGATTTCTCCCAAACTGTCCATTTCATCATTTATAACACAATAATATTCCATTACATTCAATTACCATAATTTGTTTAACCATAGCCCAATCAATGGGTATCCCTTTAGTTTCTAGTTTGAGCCTACTATGAAATGAACTGTTATAAATACTGTCATTCATATATGCCCTTTTCTTCTCTATTTGATCTCTTTGGGGCATAGGCAAATCAGTAGTAGTATAGTTGGGTCAAAGGGTCTATGCTGCATAATTTATTGGTCTGCAGCCACAAGTCTCTCCCCACTTCAATCCATCCTCCACTTCACTGTCAGAGTTCTTCTGATGAGCTCCTCTGACATTGGCACCCTGATTTATTGAGTACACACATACTCAATAAACTCCAGTGGCTCCCTGTTACTTCCAGGATCAAATATAAAATCCTCCATTTGACTTTTAAAACTCATCATAACTTTGTTCCTTCCTACCTTTCCAGTCTTCTTACGCCATACTTCCCCAGACTGGAATCCGCTGCCACCGACCTCCTTGTTGTTTCTTGTACATGATGTTCCAACTCCTGACTCCAGAAATTTTCATAAGTTGCCCCACATGTCTGGAACTCTCTCCTTAATCTCTGCCTCCCGATTTCCCTGGTTTCCATCAAATCCCAGTTAAAATCCTATCTTCTATAGGAATCCTACCTTTTTCCAATCCTTCTTAATTCTAGTGCCTTATTTGCAACTTTTCCTGTACATATATCTTGTTTGTACAGTTGTCTTCTGTTGTCTCCCTCATTGGATTGTCAGATTCTCAAGAGCAGGGACCGCCTTTTGCCTTGATGTTTATCCCCAGTGTTTAGCTCAGTGTCTGGTACATAGTAGGCACTTAAGAAATGTTTCTTGACTCACTGACTGACACATTTCCAAATTGCTTTGTAGTGTGACAGGCCTATTCTGTGCTTGCTTTCATGCAGTACCTTCAGTGTTTGTCATTTTTCTCGTTGGTCATCTTTGCCAATATGATGGCTATGAGGCAGAACTTTAGTTTTGCTTTAATTTGCATTTCTCTAATATTAGTGATTCTGGAACATTTTTCATATGGCTATTGATAACTTGCTTCTCTTACTTTGAAAAGTACCTGTTTATTTCCTTTCACCATTTATCCATTGGGAAATGGATACTGAGAGATCTTATACATTTGAATCAATTATGTATATAGCTTGAATGAGAGACCTTCATCAGAGAAACTTGCTGCAGAGATTTTTATATACCAGTTACTTGTTTCCCTTCTCATTTTAACTGCATTAGATTTGCTGGTACAAAACCTTTTTAATTATATGTAATCAAAATGGTTTATTTTATTCCCTGTGATCTTCTCCATCACTGGTTTGATTATGAACACCTACCTTACTCATAGATCTGAAAGGTAATTGCTTCCTTACTTCTCTAATTTGCTGATGATGGACTCATTTACTTAAATAAGATATCTTGGTATATGTATAGTGTGAAGTGTTGGTTTATTCCTAATTTCTGTGAGACCGTTTTCCAGTTTTCTAAGCTTTGGTCAAATAATGAGTCCTTACCTACAATAACTGAGATCTTTGGATTTATCAGACTTAGTGATCTTACTGTGTTTGTTTCTGTAAGTTGTGTGGCTAATCTGTTCTGCTGATCTACCTTTTTTTTAACCAGCATCAAATGATTATTGCTTCATAGTGCAGTTTGAGATCTGATACTGATGGATTTAATCCCAATATTCTTAAAGACCATAGACAGAGGACAGCTAGGTGGCACAGTGGATAGAGCACCAGCCCTGAAGTCAGGAGGACCTGATTTCAAATCCAGTCTCAGACCAAACACTTGACACTTACTAGCTGTGTGACCCTGGGCAAGTCACTTAACCCCAATTGCCTTAAAAAAAAAAACCATAGACAGGTAGGCAATTTCAAAGTAATTCTCTCTCTCTCTCAATATCTATGTAGGTTCCCTGATCACCCTGTATTGCTCCTCCCAGCAAGTCCTGTGCCAGATTGTCAGTGACTTCGAACCTGTCAGTTCAAACAACATCACCTTGAGCAGTTGGCAAGAGAGGGTCAAGAAGAACTATGGCTTCTTCATTGGAGTGGGCCTGGCCATCTTCTCCAGCTTTCTCATTGGCAGCAGTGTCATCCTTAAGAAGAAGGGCCTCATTCGGCTGGTGGACAAGGGTGCCACTCGAGCTGGTAGGACCACTGCTTACTGGGAAAGGATGGGAGCTGGAACATTGAATCACTGATAACATTCACCCCAACCAGTTGTGTAGACATCTTGAGAATTGGGCCTCGAGTCTTACTAATGAGCCAGTTCTGTCAATTGAACAAAACTGACAAAGTAAACCAACAGCCAGACCTTCAGCATAGCTTCCAGGGTCAAATCTTCTTGTCTTATCCAAATGTGACATCCATAACACCTTGGATTGGTGGAACAGATAGCTTGCCACTATTTCATTTTTCTCCTCTCCAGAAAATACCCAAAAACAAATTGATCCCTATGCCACTAGCAAAATGCCCATTTTCCCTGGGAGAGAAGTTATCCCAAATGAAGGCTTTGGTGGGGCAAGGATGACATTCCCAGCCCAGAGTCATAGGATTTTTCAAGGCAGGGCAAATTTCTTGGATTAAGTCCAGTTTTTACAGTTTTGTTTCAGAGACCTTTAATATCTCAATTATAATGATTGGGGTAGAAGTCCCTTTATAGCAAAAATGATTTTTATGTTGACTTAGTTGGGCCTCCTTTTGATGAATCAATTCTGGAAACCTTATGTGTTCCATCTTTTCTATTGGGTGCTTTATTACTCCTTTAACCTTACTTTTCTTTCCTTTCCTAGTGGATGGAGGTTTCGGCTACCTCAAGGATAAAATGTGGTGGGCTGGATTTCTCACCAGTAAGTAGGGGCATTTATGTTACTAATCATGGAAAGGAGCTGAGGGGGAGAATGGTGGGGCCAGTTTCCATACTGTTACATCTAGACTCAGCAAACTGGAATTTTAGGGGAATCATTTTGCATCTGTTTTTGGTTATCATTTGCCCTAGATAAATTTCTTGCCAACAAAACTTTGATGAGTTCAGATTTCCTGAATCATGTTTGACCCCAAAACAAATTACTATGCCAGTATTTGGAGAGCTACTCATGGTTGAATGTTTGATCTAGAAGGGAAATTAGAATACGAAACATTAAAACTTGAAGGAACTTTAAAACACAGAGACAAAATACTAGAGTTAGAAGAGACTTTTAGAGGTCATCTAGTCCAATCCCCCTGCAGTCCTTCCAAAGGCCATTTTGCCACACAACACTACTGATAGTAAAAGAGCAAAACTGGAATCTCTCAAGATTTTACTATGCCATTAGTAGGCTTATCTTTCTCTCTTCATAGGATTGAGTTAAATTAGCCTAAACTTCCAGATGATACATATCTCTTTTGTCTTCCCTGCTTCTAACCCACTCTTTCTGTCTCCTAAACTCTGATCCTTCACACAGGTAGTCAAGAAAAGTCAAATCAAGTCAACCAGCATTTATTAAGCACATGCCAGGTGATGTCTCGTGAGTACACGAGTCCTCAGTCAGACTTCTTCCTATTCTTGCCTATGAACTTTTGCTGTGAGATGCAATCTGCATTTGAGTCAGTCAACAAGCATGTATTTAAGTGTTGCAATGTGCTGGGCACTATGCTAAGTGTTACGGTTACAAAGACAAAAAAATACAGCTCCCGGCCTTAAGAGATCACATTCTGATGAGGGAGATAGACAATATATCAATAACTATGTACATACAAGATATACACAGAGAATCTTGGGAAAGCAGCTGGGATAAGAGGAAAAGTTTTAGATCTCAGCAACTTCATTCATGTTTTACTCCCCCTTTTTCTCCCCCCTCCCCTCTTCTTATTTCCCAGTGGGTCTAGGTGAAGCTGCCAACTTTGGGGCCTACATATTTGCTCCTGCAACGGTCGTCACTCCACTGGGAGCGCTGAGTGTGCTTATAAGGTCATTAATAAATACCTTGCTGGTTTGTTTGCTTGTGCATTTGGATGAGGCTCTTCCAGAGCCACCAAATGAGGCTGAACATACTTTACATGTTAAGAATGTACCTTAGCCTCAGTTTCCCCAGAAAAGGTGCTGTTCCACACTCTGCAATAGATAATAGCAGAAAGAACTTTGGTTTGGGAGTCATAGGACATGACTGAACGACACTGAACAGATCATTTACATCTCTGGGCCTTTGTTTCTTCCCTTGTAAAATTAAGGTATTGGACTAAATCACACTCATTTGTGTCATGGATCCCTTTGGCAGTCTGGTGAAGCCTATGGATCCCTTCCCAGAACACTGTTTATAAATAATTGAAGGAAATGATCAATTTCAGTCAGAAGTTAGTGAAAATAAAGACATAAGCTTTTTTTCTTCTAAGTTCATGGACCCTCATGAAATCTATCCAGGGACTCCCAGATTAAGAACTCCTGGATTAGTTTCCAGCCCCAAATCCTTTACTCCTAATGCAGTCTGGCAAGTAAATTTTAAACTTGACCAGCTTAAATAGCTGACATAAATAGTGAGCTCAGTCAATGTTTACAAGCCGACCTTCGTGAGTGGGAGTGACGGTGGTTGGTCAGAGAGATCTAACCAGCACACTTTTCTAATCACCAGCATCTGTGATTACTCTTCTCAGACAAGTTCTGATTTCTAAAGCAGATCAATGGTTTGAAAGTTTTCCTTTTGGAAGACTAGCCCTACTCCTAATGTTTCCCATGTCTCAAGCCCTCCCCGCAGGCATCAGATTCCCTAAGCTGCACTCCGACACCTTTGTCTCTGTCTCTCTGTGCAGTGCCGTGTTATCATCTTATTTTCTGGGAGAGCGGCTGAACCTGTTGGGGAAGCTGGGCTGCATGATCTCCACAGCAGGCAGTTTGGTGACGGTCATTCATGCTCCCGAAGAAGAGAATATCAAGTCGATGAATGAAATGGCTTCAAAGCTGAAGGACACGGGTGAGGATAAACAACCATTATCATCCGGTCATCCAGTCATCCAGTCATATCCGACTCTTCATAACCCTCTATGGGTTTTGACATTTGACAGAGCTACTAGAATGGTTTGCCATTTCCTTCTCCAGCTCATTTTACAGATGAGGAAACTGAGGCAAGATTAAGTGACTTGCCCAGGGACACACAGCTAGAGATTCCGAGGCTGGATTTGACTTTCTGATTCTAGGCCCGGTGCTCCATCCACTGTGCAACCTAGCTGCCTCTGAGGGTAACCAGAAGTGCCTTAAAACTGGGAAATGCTGGGGCACGTAGGAAATGGCTGCGCTGATTTTGTTTTGTTATTTGGTGTACTAATTGCTGGGTGGGTACTTGTTAGTATATATCTGTATTTGTGTGTGAGCGGGGGTTGGGGGAAGGATTGGCCAATGAGGGTTCAGTCCTGGGATCATGTGTTTGTTTGAGAGGCCTACTTTTGGGCCTTCATAATGGAGCCCCTTGCATGCAGAGGTTATGCTGTGCCTATTATCTGGTCCACTGACCACATGGTGAAGAAACAGACTGTTGATTGGCTGCTGAGCCAGAACTGGGTTTACATTAAAAAAAAATAACCAGGCAAAATGAGGTCGCTCTCCTTTCTCTTCCTGGCCACATTCCAGTGATAAGGAGGTGAGGGCTGGGTGGGAATGAAGAGGTAGCACCAGCAGCAGAGTGGAAACCAGGCTCAGCAAACATAGGACTGAGGCTTCATTGGCCAGTCCTCCCCACCCGTCCCCCAGTCCACTTGCAAGCCTGGTTTAAAAGCATCCACTTTGTGTGTTTTTCCAAGATCTGATGTTGAGATCCAAGCTGTTTCTCTTTCCTCTGGCAGGCTTCATCGTGTTTGCTGTGATCCTAGTGGTGAGCTCTCTTATCCTCATCTTCATCATTGCCCCACGCTATGGGCAGAAGAACATCCTCATTTATATCATCATCTGTTCCGTGATAGGGGCCTTCTCCGTCTGTGCTGTCAAAGGCATGGGCATTGCCATCAAGGGCTTCTTCCAGGGACAGCCAGTTCTCCGGCACCCTCTCACATATTGTGTCGGGCTGATCTTGGCAACTTCAATCCCCATACAAGTCAACTTCCTCAACAGGGCTCTGGATATCTTCAACACCTCTTTAGTGTTCCCCATCTATTATGTGACCTTTACTAGTGTGGTCATCACCTCCTCTGTCATCCTCTTCAAGGAGTGGAACAGCATGTCAGTTGCGGACATCCTGGGCACAATCTCGGGTTTCATTACGATTATCCTGGGGGTGTTCTTGCTCCATGCTTTTGAGGACCTTGACATTACCTGGGCAAACCTTCCCCATACCCACAAAAACCCAGTCCCACCTCCCACCCCTGAGCCCACAATCATCAAGCTGGAAGACAAAAGTGTCCTTGTGGACAACATAGAACTGCCCACACCCTCACCAGAGGAGAAACCCAAAGTCTTCACAATCCACACCTAAAGTTTTTAATTGATATAAGAGAAGATGCATTCTATTAGCCCATCTAACCCTGGAACAATCTAGTGATTTCAAATACTATGTCAAGAGGCAGGATGCCATTTTCCTAACAGTGTGGCTTTATACCTTATTAATATTTCCAGGAGGAAGTAATTTCCAGTTGTATAGGGCCAGGTCAGATCCTGACTTCCTGGAAACACAAAGACTCAATGGCCATACTGCATGGCTTGTATTGGTGCACTATCTATCCCTCCTCCCCCCCCCTTTCTTTTACCCTCTACCTTCCATGCCAATGGCAGTTACCTGTGTTGGCAAGTGGAGGAGAGAATTTGACTCTTTGAATGTATTAGAGTCTAGCTGATTCTGTGGGGTGTTGTAAAACCAAGAGGTCCTCAGTATTGGACCTCATCACGAAGATACATAAGCTACACCATTCCTCATCTAGGACTGAGACATGCTGGATCTGAGTGGGATGAGGAAGGATTCATTGCCCAAAGCTCATATGGAAATAATATGGACTATAGTGTAAAAGTTAATGTTTGCTAGGCCATCTTCAGATCCTTCTCCCTTCACTCCAATGTTACCCAAGGGAGATGACAGGTAGACACTAAAAGTCTAAATCAGGTTGAGGATGACCGACAGGCCTCAAACTTGTTGGTGAGTTAGGCAGATGTCTACTCCAAGCAAATGATGACTTCCCCCAGGGGAATGGGTGGATGAGAAATTTGTTCCAACAACCATGAAGGCAGCTAAAGCAGGTGCTGTGGAGCACTTAGAGCTTGTCAGACGTCAAAGATGTCAAGGTCATCCACTGCATCTCGGGCCATTGCCAGTCATCCTTACTTTTGTCCTGCCCCTGGACTTTAATGACTCTGGAAGAGAGAGTAAGGCTGTTGACTTTGTGCAACTCCACCTCACTTAAATCCAATTAACGTGCAAGTGAAGACATCACCTGTGATGTCATTGATCCTCTTCCAAAGGAAGGACAAATAACAACAACTCAAGGGAGATGGACCTCCACTTGACTTTGTTCTGAGAAAGTCACCTTCTGACTCAGGGAAAAGCCTGGAGCAAAAGAAAAATTTTTAAAAAGAAAGAAATAAAAGTGAAAAAAAGAAAAGCCAGGAGCCAAATTAATCCCCTAGATTTATAGCTCAGTGGTTGACATCTGCTGTCTCTCTCTCTTTTGGCACGCTGAGATACCAGTCACTAGGGAGGTCACACAATGACCTCAAGATTCAAACAAAAGACTTGTCACTACCAAATTCTGAATTAGTTGGTGTGCTTACTCTCCCTTATATTTCATCTTCATGCCTTGGAAGAATGACAGCTGTTCCATGCTGTCTTACTCTTTAAAAATGTCTTGATTTCTGAGTTGGAATATGGCAAAACATTTTAGTTCCTGTTCCTCCTTAAGAAGTAAACAAGATATGGTATTTTGGAGTTGGGGAGAGAAGGAAACAAGTATGGGAGGTGAGGGTTAGAAGGAAGCAATACTAGGTCTGCTGAAGCCAGCAGATTGATACTCTTTGTTTACTCTGGGCCCTAACCAAGCACTTTGGACTGAAAGACTTCCATGTCTGTCCTTTGCTGTTGCCTCAATGACCTGGCTCCCTGGTTAGCAAAAGTGTGCCTTGCATCTAGATGACCTTGTGGGCACACAGGCTATGAACTTGGCAGGGTGCACCCAACTCCCTGATGCTGGCTGCTGCTTCCTTTCCTCTGAATGCTGCACAAGGGCCAATCTCTGCCAATGAGCTGCCTACAAAGGCAGCCACCCAAGTATAAGTACCCAGCTCCAACAGCTGCAGCTGCCTCATGTTCCATCATTCCCCACTCCCTTCCCCCAAGCCGATTGAGTGCTAGCTCATCAGAGCAGCTGCCAGCACCAGAATCCTGGCTGAGCTAAAGTGTCAGGGACTTTAAGATGGATGGATGGGCTGGGCTCAGGGAGGACTGACTAATTTTCCCCTACCTGTCTCCCTTTCTTCTGTCCCTGCTGCAAGAGTAGAGGAATTGGTGCAGATACCTCTGAGGGAAGTAAATGATGGTATCTGGATCAAAAAAAAAAATTAGTAAGAAGGACAACTCTTTCTTAAAGCTCAAACGATGTTGTGAGTAAGGCTATTGTTGGTTGCCCAGGGATGTGTATTGATACACCCAAGTCCCAAGCAGATGAAAGCAATTTCTCAGAGATCTGATGGTCCCTGTGGGAAAGCTTTTGGCCATGTCCCTAGAGCTTGGATTTCCCTGTTTCTAATGAATGTGGATTTCTGTCAAGGACTAAATCAAAGCAATGTATTTACTTTTTGTAGTGGAGAAGAACCTCGTGCCCTTTGAGATTAAAAGTGTACCTGTGAGTGCAGAGGACAAAAGTTTTCATACCTCTGATTAATTGATCCTTGTGCCCTTAGGAATCTTAGAAGCAGGGGATCTCAACTAAATGCCCCTAAACTATTTATAAGTCAGTCACTGGGTATGTCAAGATTTTCCCTGATATTCCAACCTGTCCATTTTTGCTTATCAGTTGGGGGATGGAGGCTGACCAGTTGACCACAATATTATCTTCAGGGGCAGCACTGTATACATAGTAGCATGTTGGACCTGGCACCAGGTAGAGCTGGGTTCAAACCCTGCCTCTGACACTTACTAGCAGTGTGACCCTGGAAAAGTCACCCAACCTCTCTGGGCCTCAGTTTTTTAATCTGTTTAAAATCAGGATAATAATGGCACCTACCTCATAGGGTTGTTGCAAGGGTTAAATGAGATAATGTATAGAAAATGTTTTGTAAACCTTGAAGTGCTATATAAAAGTAAGCTGCTATTATTATTGTTACTACTTTGAGATATCATTTGTAGAACATTCTTCACCTCCCCTTAGTTTTCCTATTCTAAACAAGCCTGAGGCCATCTATAATTCAGTCCTCTAGGGATGGCCTCTTTAAGATAAGGCCCAGTCCAAAGCCCATTGCTCTAAATGGGGATGACTCCAAAATAAATTTCATTAAGAGGTAGCCTGTCCAAGTAGAAAAAGCATTTGGCAAGTCCTGGTTTCTAATCCCATCTCTGCCACCAATTTGCTGTAAGACCTTGAATAGTTCCTTCCCTTTTCTGGACCTCATTATCTCAGTGTAAAGTGAGAATGTTGGATTAAATCAGAGGTTCTCAACTGTTTTGGTCCCAGGATCCCTTTATATTATTTAAAATTATTCAAGACCCCACAAAGAGCTTTTGTTTGGGTGAGTTATTTCTATCAACATTTACCACATTAGAAATTAAATTGTTTTAGTATTATTATGAAAATAGCTTTGACCTCCTGGCTCCCTGAAAGGATCTCAGGACCTCCTAGCAATCTTTGGACTCCACTTGGAGAATCACTGGACTAAATGATCTCTGAAGTTCCTTTCTGTGCTAACGCCACTGATCCATGAACTTTGTCCTTTTGCTTCTCTACGTGTAAGCCTTCATTCAGGGGGTTTCATTGGTATTTTCAACTTATCCCAGCCTTTCAAAGCTATGTGGAGACAACTGAACTAGTCCTATACTGTATAGAAAAACAGCCCCCTCTACTGGTGAAATGGAAGTCTGGGCTTTCCTCCTTGTGAACTGGAAACATTTGTGTTCTACTGTGATGGCTTTTAAGCAGCTTGGATGTAACCTTTTAAAAGCTACAGGGAGCTCTCTACTGCTGAGCAGCTGCTGGTGTCCAGATCCCAGGAGTGGGATGCTCTGGGATTGTTTTGGTATAGGCTGGATTTGCAAGACAACTCATGCGGCATTTCAAATGGCAAACCATAATTCATTTTAATTAAATATAAACAAGAAAAAAGGCACAATGATTTGTATTATTCAAGTATTTTGCATAGATGCACAAATATCATCAATTGTAAACAATTAATAAGTGAATCAAGGAGAAAAGGATCTCAACTCTGTGTAAAATCTCCCAAATTAATAGAAAACTTCACATATGCCCTCCAGCCTCGACACACACCAATAAGCAAATGTACTACTACTCTCTCTCTCTCTCTCTCTCTCTCTCTCTCTCTCTCTCTCTCTCTCATACTGATATACACACATGCCCATGTACTGAAAGTTTACTTTGGAAGGTTCTGTTTTTGCAAAGCCTCAGCCTACCACTTTGAAAGGGACTGGGGTACCTTTCCAGTTGGTTTCTGAATTTTATATTCCCTGGGATTTTCTTGGGCTTATATCCTGAGCAGTGCTTCTTAGGCATGGTAAGGAAATGGGAATCAGGGTAGAGGGGCAGTGACTAAAGCTCTTTGCAAGCCTGAGATTCTATCAGCTTGACTGACCTGCCTACATAGAATAGAGGCAGAAACAATACATGGGTCAGAGATCCAGAGAAAATTCACCCATTTCCAATTTCCAATGCCCATGCGTGGGGACAAGGAGTAGGAAGGACAAAGAGGTCTTTGAAAAAGCAAATCACTAGTTTCCTTTCCATGTTGTTTCAGGGAGAAATGATTTTAGAATTAAATGGCTGGCTTGCCCTTCTCCCATCAGCTAGACATCTCAGCTGTCCATCTCCTACAATTAGGGATTAGAAGAGAGGCTTCCAGAAGGCTAGAGAAAACAGCTGGCTTTACAACTGGAATCTCTGCCAATGTACAAATGGCTAATGAAGCCATTTTTCTTTTCATTGTCTCCCCTAGATGCAAATATTCTTTTCTGGTATAGCTCCCACAGATCTATGAGGAACTGGGTCCTTTAGGATGGACCATTTATAAAGGGGCTGTGAGCCGGCTGGCAGAAAGAATGCTGCAGCAACATTCCAAATGGACTTGCGATCTGGACATTCTTCTGAGTCTTTTGCTAGGGAGAGTATTTTTCAGAGTTGGGAAATTCAAGGGATGTATTCTTTCTGGAATAATTGACTGGAGAGGGCTGAACATTAGATAAAAGATACCCTGACCAGGTAGATAGTCAGAGTTAATCCAAGTCACATGGCAATCCCTTAGATTCACATTAAAAACCAAAATGTCTGCTTTTACCCCCGATTTCATGAAATAAAATTAAGAATAAACTAAGGGGGGGGGGCAATCATTAATGTCTCCGCCTTGCCAATCCTCTTCCGGTCAGCAATCCTGAGATCCAATACCAGGAAGCCCAAAACACAAAGACAAACACAGATTTATAAGCAAGACCCTCTCTGCAGTTTTAGGGAATTACTAATAAGCCCTGAGGATAGCTATACGCACCACATCCCTGGGAAGACAGGGCTTGATAGTGTCCATTCACCAAAGCACCACGCATCATTATAGTCGAGAGCCTGAGGGAGAGTGAGGTGGAAAGGGAAGGATCAAACAATGGAACTCCAGGGTAGCGAGAGCTAGAATGGAATGTACCTGATACGCACCAAGGAGGATAAGAGTCCCAATCTATTGGTACTCATGACCTTTGGCATTACCATTATGGCTCAGAGGAGGCACAAACACAGCGCTCCCCCCTGCTGTCTATGTTATTGTAGATGGAGTGGTTAACCTAGCTGTAGTACCTATCTGAGTCAAAAATGACCCATATGAATAATGGAGAAGGGGAAAGGGGAGTAGGGAAGGAGAAGTACTCAGACCTCCACAGGATAAGCATCACAAATGAACAAAAAATCAACACAAAGCATCCCAACCAAGATGGCTCGTGTGACCTGGAACACCTTGATCACAGCAGCGATTTTCCTCTGGTTCTTCTCTGGGTCCCAGGGTTCCCTGGAGCTGAACCACTTGTTCCAATTTCTTAGAGAAGGCATGGAAGACATGGTAGATGAGTCCTCCTCCAGTATGGCTTCTCCAGGCTGAGTCTTGATATGAGATGGCTTAGGAGATAGATGTGACATCCCTCATTAGCCCAATTTCTCCTCCAGTGCTGGTCTTTGAGGGCTCAGGTGACCACTGGAAGGTGAGTGACTCAATCTCTGCAGATATGCTGAGTGGTTGACAGTCAGGTGAAGCCAATGCTCATCTTCTTTCCCAGGCTCCTACTCTCTCCCCCTCCCCAAATCATATATTGCACAAAACGACACTTAAATTTTGTTAGAAATAAGTCACTCTGGGCTTCCAAAAGAAGCTAGACCATACTAGGTCTGGGTCAAAGTATCCAAGAATTGGAGGTGATGAGGTTGAAGGTGGGGGGAGGAGGTAAGTTAATTAAGATGGCAAGTGACTAGATATGGTTCTGCCTGATTACAAGGCCACGTTATCTTTTGTGATTTCCAGGGTCTTCATGGAAAAAGGGAACTCCAGGTTGGGACTCCTCAAGTCAAGTGTTGGGATTAGGTTTTTGAGCTAGTTACTCCTCCAGCCCTCTGGGCTCTAAAATCTGGAAGCTTTGGAAAGAAATAGGGGAAACCATTAGTTCAACACACTAAATAGAAACAAACTTAACCACTGGGACATTTGCTAAACAAGACCACTAAGAGAGTGACCTCCTTCAATGAGTATCAGTCCGTTCATCCATAACAAACTCATATTTCAAATCCTTTAAAGTTTACAGACTGCCATCTTCACATTGGCCCAGTGATATAGAAGAGGACACTGAGACTCAGAGAGGTACACTGACCTGCGCCATAGTTACAGAGCTAGTATGTGGCAGAGTTAGGATTCAAACCCAGGTCTTTTAACCAGAACTCTTATTGCCACTATGTTGCCATCCTGCTTCCTCAGAAAAAAACCAACTTGCCAACAAATCACATCCCTACAACCTAAGGGCTTAGCAAGGGGTTCAAGCTTCCATATCTGTTCATGCATCTATCAGTCTCTTGTGTGAAACCAAAGCTGGGCTAATCAACTGCCTTCATTACCTTCCCAATCCCCACCCAGAATAGGCAACACAGCAACATACTAATCACAAAAGAACTGCCCAAATGCATCATTTGGAATATGGACGGCACAAGGCCATAGATGTGTCTGTTCTTTTGCCCCCAGGGAACTACACTTATCTTTTCTGGACCCCAAGGGCAGGAAGAGGCAACTTGTACCTATTCCTATTCTAAATGCTTCCATGAGAGACACACCTTAGGAGCTGGAGTTGCTAGTGGCTGAAGGTGGCGGGGGCTACTTCCAGCCACAGGTGGCCGCAGGGCAGAGGAGCCACCATTCTTTGGGAATGTCTTGCGACCCGGCACAGGATTGGCAGGCAGAGCTTTCTGGGGTGGGCGAGGTCTGGAGAAATCCTAAGGAGAAAGTAAAGAGACTTTCAGCCTGACTCTAAACAGACAGGGCAAGAGCAGAGACCAAAAAATGGGACTGGTCTCCTTGGGGTCAGCAAGCCTGCTGGGATGTTACAGAAGTACTGTGGAGGATAAGAGTTCATTCAGTTCATGGGATTTAGAGTCAGAAGGGTCCTTAGAGATGATCTAGTCCAACTCTTTCATTTTCAGGGAAGTGAGCTGGAATCCTAGGGCAACTCAACTGAATAGGTTAAAAAATCCACAGAACTTTAAAGATGGAAGTCATTCTACAGATCACTTAGGCCAAGAGCCCTCCCTCCTGTCACCACCCATTATACAGATGAAAAAACAGGCCCTGAGAGGTCAAGTGACTTGCCTAAGGTTATATGCTAGGTTAGAGCATCAGGAAACAGGACTTTATGTGAAATAGTCAGGGAGACTGATAGGTGTCCAGTCAGCTAATGATGATAATGATTGATTGATTGATTGATTGATTGATGATAACAGTATATATTCATTTAGCATTTTAAAGTTTTAAAAAATCTGTTCACAGATACAATCTCACAAGAATCCTCACAGGAAGTCTATATGAATAGATAGGGCATATATTAATTCCATTTGACAGATGAGAAGGGATAGAGGGGCTAAATGATTTACTTAAAATTTCACAGCTTTTATAGACAGAGCTACTACTAGAACTCAAATTTGACTCCAACCCTTTGTTCTTCCCATCAGCCCACATTGCCTCAATGAGTAAGAGGAGAGAAAAGGAATGGTAGCAGAAGTGGGGTGTAAAATGGGAGTTTTGGAGAGAAATACAGAGATTTCAAATTCCACAATTTTGATTTTGACTCAGTTCTTTTTTTCCAACCTTCTCTTCCATTTTTGATAGAATGACTGACATCTCTCAAGGAGATCTATCAAGTGCAAGAAATGGAAGCTACCTCACAAGTCAACGAAATACCCTACTGACTTCTGGGGTACCCACTTTGCCAACCCCTACCCAACTTTTTATTCATTCAACATTTCCTGAGCACCTGCTAAGTTCAAGGTTAGAAAAACAAGGCATACTCCTTGTTCTCATGTAGCTTTTTGACTTTTTTTAAACCAGAAAAATCAACTGGACAGGTTTAAGTTTTTAAATCTGTACTTTTTTCCCCCTGCTCATTCTCAGAAGAGATGCTAATGGAAAGTAGAAAAAGTATCAGGATAATCTCAGCACCTGAAAAATCTATGATCTGCGTCATTAGACCTTGGAAAATTTAAACTGGTTTACATGGATTATCGAATTCCAGTGAAAGGATGGGTAAGTGGTTCTTGCACATGAGAAGAATTTTGTCTAATTTATTCAATTCCTTCCAAAACGATCCCTTGAACAACTAGCAAAATAGGAAGGGAGACATCACTTGGGTCCAAAGCGAGGAAATGTTCGAACAGCTGTGTGCAGATGTCAAAATGTTGTTGGAAAAACTCTACTCCAACAGCTGTTTGCCATGTCTGAGGGGAAACATTAGCAGGGAGGAATCTTCATCCATATCTCATGTTTGGCCTCCCTGCTTCTCTCCTGCCATGAAGGGAGTGCTGATCATGACAGAGAACAGCATGAGGCAGCCCAAGAGGCCTTCCCCAACTCTTAGTTGGCTGTGTTAAGAGCCACATTTAACCTACTGAACAGCTCTTAAAAAAAGAATTCTCCAGATAGAGTCAGTAGTCCAACAGGCGGGGAGACAAGGAGGATCTTGGTTATCCAGGGACACGAAAAACTCCATGGAAATCAATCAACCAGCCTACGAAACGTTCCTCTGAGCACAGGGTGCCTTTGAGGAGAAGCGGGGCCAGGAGACTAGAAATGTTGAATAAGAACCCACTGAAGACTTTCAGTGCTAGGAATACAGAACTAGGTCTTCAGGGTCCTTAGTTTGGCCTTCAAGACCTTCCAAGGGTTTTATAACTTCCCAAGCACCAAACTCATGTGTGTTTTGCAGATAGTAGGCACTTAGCCATAGTAAACACTTAATAAATGCTTTTTGTTTTAAGTATTTGCTGACATTGAAACTTGTAAAAGCTGAAACTCTGCTACTAAACTTACTAAGTCACTTAAGCCTTGTAGATCTCATTTTCCTCAGCTGTAAAATGAGGACTATAATCTCTTTATTTGCCTGCCTAAAAGGGTCACTGTGAGATTCAAAGAAGACAACAGATATGAAAAGCCTAAGACAGTATAAAACTTAGATAACTATACTAAGAAGCAATAGTAATACAGAAAATTGGGAGCCTGCCAGGCTGGGCTTCAGAGAGCAAAGCCAGGTATTGTCAAGCACAAAGAAGGGTTCTCTCATGTGTCTTTCCCACTGTGAGATCTTCCCACCACGGAGAGGAGAGGTTGACTCCATGGGTATTTTTGCCAGATTACATTGGTGATTTGGTGATAAATGGAGACCAGTCTTGGTGGTAAGAGAAAATGGTGGTGACAGATTGTTGGATCAGACAATCAAAAAAATACTGAGAAAGTCTCCTAGAAGCTGCAAAACATATGGCACAGCCTAATGGCACGATCTGCATAATTAATCTTGGTTCTCCATCTCTTGGGTAATAAGGGTGCTTCTCTTTGGTGTTTTGGGGTGGGGGGGAGTGGATTTCTAGGTATTTATGTCAGTCTAGGCAGGGGTGGGTAACCTACAGCCTTTGAGGTCATATGTGGTCTTCTAGGTCCTTGGGTGCGGCCCTTTGACTGAGTCCAAGTTTTACAGAACAAATCCTTTTATTAAGGGGATTTGTTCTGTGAAGTTTGATTCCTTCTTCTATGACAGAATAGATTTTCTATGTTGGCAGGGATAATTTTAACAGCATATATTGGTAAATAAACATCAATTTCTTTTAGCTCTTCAAATTTTATTAGCATAAAGCTTTGCATAGTAGTCTCTGTTTATTGTCTTGATTTGTTCTGGTCTCATAATTTCTGCTTTCTCATTTCTAACTCTGAAAATTAGGGGTTATCTTTTTTTTAATTGATATACCCATTCTTTACTGATTTATTGTTGGTTTTATTTGTCCTTTCCATTGCGTAATTATTTTCAATTATATTAACTTTAGTTCTTGTTCTGGTTATTTCCTTTTCTATTTTCTTTGGGGGTATTATTTCTTCTTTTCTAACATACTTAAGTGTAGATTCATCTGGCTAAGTTTCTCTACTTGTTGATAGTGGCATTCAACACTACTAGATTTGCCTCTGGGTATTATTTTCATTGTATACCCCAGATTTTTATATATAGCACCTTGTGGTCTTCATTCAATTTTACAATTTTCTCACTCACTTGATGTTATTTAATAGATTATTTAACCATGACCCAAATGGCTTTTATCTTTTGATTACATGATCATCATTTTTGACTAATTTTGTTAAATTATAATCCGTGAATGTGGTGTATAGAATTTCTGCTTTTCTTACCAATATCTTCTTTCTTACTCAGAATATATTTTTGTTTACTTTCTATGTATACTTGGGGGGGGGGAATGTGTATTTCTTTTCCATCTTTTTTCCTCTTTTCTTACATTCATTGAACATGTTGAATTTTAATTTAGTCAGTGCCACTTTCTGAAGGTTTTCAGAATTACTTGTGAAATAGCTTATCTTGATGTAAGAAGTGTTATTGTAAGTCCTTGCCTATATTACTAAATTACCTGGCTGCCTTTACAATGTTTTTGAAATGCACATGGTTTTGTGAATTGTTCAATATCCAAAAGTTTACCATTTTTCCATCTCTTTCCTTCTAACAGTATACTAAGTTTGACTGGACAGATAATGCTAGATTTCTAGCCCACGCATAAGGGATAGTGGATAGAGCGGCAGATTTGGAGCTGGGAAGATCTGGTTTCAAATCCCACTTCAGACATTTAACCTTGTGAGCATGAGCAGGTTTTTGTTTTGTTTTGTTTTTTTACCTTTCTGACCTTCAGTTTCTTCCTCTGTAAAATGGGTATAATATTAATAATACTTGCTCCACGGGGTGTTATGAGACTCAAATTACATAGTACTCTATGGAAAGTACTTTGCAAACTTTAGTGCTACACTTGTTGTTTAGTCATTCAGTTGTGTCCAATTCTTCATTACCATACCACACCAATACTGTCCATGGGGTTTTCTTGGCAAATATACTGGAGTGGTTTGCCATTTTCTTCTCCAGTGGATTAAGACAAACAGATGTTAAGTGACTTGCTCAGGGTCACACAGCTTGTAAGAGTCTGAGGCCAAATTTTAACTTAGGTCTTTCTGATTCTGGAGCAGCTAGGTAGCTTAGTGATTACAGCACTGTGCCTGAAGTCAGGAAAATCTGAGTTCAAATCTGGCTTCAGAGACTTACTAGCTGTGTGACCCTGGGCAAGTTACTTAACCTCTGTTTGCCTCAGTTCCTCATCTATAAAATGAGCTGGAGAAGGAAATGGCAAACCAATCCAGTATCTTTTCCAAGAAAAACCCCCAGGGTCACAAGGAGCCAGCCAGGATTGATACAACTGAACAGCAACAAATGTCATGATTTCAGGCCCAGTGCTCTCTCCACTGAGCCCTGTAGCTGCCTCCTAAAATGCTACATACCTGTCAATTACTATCAAGAAAAATATGAATTTGTGTATATATTACATTCCAATTTGTCTGATCATTCTTTCTTGGGAAATCTACTGTCATTGCAATTCTTAATATGTCCTTTTTTGTCTTACTGCAGCTCATATGGGACTCTTTCCTTGTTATTTTAACACTTATAATATATCTAGGAAAGTTGACTCACAGATTTTTTCCAAGTAGGGGACCAGTAGATTCTTTACATTTGCCTGTTGTCACTTGTTTTCATAATTCTGGAAAGTTTTCCTGAATAATTTCCTGGAATCTAATTTTAAGATTTTTTTTCTGGGTTTTTTTTTGGTTGTTTGTTTGTTTGTTTGTTTTTTGGTAAGGCAATCAAGGTTAAGTGACTTGCCCAGGGTCACCCAGCTAGTAAGTGCCAAGTGTCTGAGGCCAGATTTGAACTCAGGTCCTCCTGACTCCAATGCCCCTCTGTTTTTGTTTTTTCACATTTTCTGGGATGTCAGCAACCTCTGACATTGGCATGCCTTACCCAAGCATACCAGATCTATCTATCTATCCCTTGTATTTGAATACTTATACATTTTCTCAATATGTGAGTTCTCTTCTTAGCTTGTTTTTCTACTTTGTATATGCTGTCTGTGAGCCTGTTTTCCACCATTGTGAATCTAAGGTTGACTGCTTCTATAAAGATCTTTTCAGGTTTTTCCATTACATTCTCTAGATTAATCATATTTTTAATCATCATATCCTCCTGATTTTTAAAAGTATCTTTTCATTCCAGCTTCAGTTCCTCTCATTTAAAAATTTCTGGCAATTTTCTTAACATGGAAATTCCTCATTAAATCATTTAAATGTAGCATTTGTCCTTTGAAGGATGTCAGGATATCTTGTATTGTTTCTTTTGCCTCTGAGATTTTAATTTGTTTCAGTTGCTTTGTGGTGTTTTGTGGTATTGTGTTTACTTATTGTGCTGGTCCTTAATTTTCTTTTGTGGTAAATTTTTATTATCATGTGTGGTTTTTAAACTATCTCCCCCACTCTGGTGTTTCTCTATTTTTTTTAAGGGAATGTGAGGAGCTTAGTTTCCTTGTAACTTCTCACTCCACCATCTTGACTGGAAGCCTGCCCAAGGACATCTAACCCAGCTGTGCTCAGCATCTCTGTCTCAGTAAACACCCCTGATGTGAGGGGAAACGATCTCTGTACTTAGGCACTAGGGATATTTATTTGACATGGATTCATGGGCCCTTCCTGGTTTTGTTTGCTCCTTCTTCCTGTCAGGAGCCTTGTCAACTGGAAGGTGGGGGCTGGCTGCTGAAGCTGGTTGTTTGTTTCATCCTGTCCTCCAGAGACATAACTGTACATCTGAATTCCTTTTGCTCTGCCTTCTCTTCTACCCCTTTGACCTGGTGCTCAGGGCGAGAGGGCAATATGGGGTGAGCCTGGCTCTTTCCTCATCAAAAAACAATTATGTGGGTTTCTAGGAATAATAGGCTTACAATTTCTCTCTCCACTCTCTTCAGTTTCTTTTTTCCTTCTTTTTCTTCCTCCTTACTTATTTCTCTTCCATATTTTTTGTTTCTTCTTTTTTTCCTCTCTTCTCCCAACTTATCCTCTCTCTGCTTTCTCCTTTCTCTTCTCACCATTTCCTTCCTTTCTTCCTCTTTCTAATGTCTTCCCTCTTCCCTTTGTTACCTCTTTCCCTTCTTTTTTCCATCTCTTCCCCTTTCTCTCACTTCTTTTTCTTCTCTATTTCCCTTTCTTCTCTCAGTTTTTAGGAAATGCAGAAAGAGAAGTATCATCAAGGAAAAAAATCTTCAAAATCAGAACCAAACCCTCTCAGTTTACTAAACAATAACTTTTATCCTAACTCCCCCAAACCCACCAAAGCCTGAGGATCTGAAGGAACAGGGATAGCTTAGACCTGTCAGTAAATCCTAGCCTGCACAACCTAGACCAGGAACAAGAGGAAACCCTAGGTGAAGGAGGCAACAGGAATACAACTGAGTAGTTTTGTCTCTGGGAAAGGGGAAGAAACAAACAACGAAACCCAGGAGGTTTGGCTGAAGATGGAAGGACCAGCTTCAGGGCAGGAGCAGCCACTTCCTTAGAAACCCTGGTACCTACCCCTGCCTGATTTTCCTCAGCAGACAGTCCTCTCATTAGAGGGTATCATTAGCATGTTCTGATAAAACAGGAAACTTTTTATTCATGAGTTCTTTGTTCTAAGTCCTTTGCAGCTGGTAGTGATGGGGTAGGCAGTTGCTGAGATTATATTGCATTGATGCTGTTTGCTTTAACACCTATGTGGCATGCTGCATTCGACTACATTTAACTTTCGGCAAGTCACTTATGCTTTCCAAGTCTTAGGTCGTCCATCTATAAAATTACAAGGTTGTTCTAGGTGGTCTCTAAGATCCCTTCCAGCCCTCACACTATGAATGGGGCAAACTCTTACCTGGGTAGCAATATAATTTGGAGCTGGAGGCACTGGCCGGCTTGGGGGAGGTCTTCTCACAGATTCTTTTCTTTCCACTTGGGTCATGGCCCCTGGGGAGCTCCTGATGTTCCTACTGAGGTTTACCGAGAGAGGGGGAGTTGGGGACCCCCCATGCATATAGTCTGGGGGTGGTCTAGGGGGAGGTTGTGATAGCTTGCGTGGAACTTCAGGTGTGTTAGTAACCTATATATGGGGTAAAACACAAAACACCAATGAGATATTTGTACCCCATGTCTGAATGACCTAGATCTTAGTTGCCCTCCTATATATCCCATTGGGATGGAGGACCAGAGGTAGAGTGATAAGCAAGATGAATTCTGAAAGATCCTTCTAACTCTAGAATTTCCTGATCACCCAGAGACACAATGTCTTTTCCAAGAGTGCCATAATTAGTCATAACTTCTGGCCAATTCAGTAAAATTATTCACAGACCTGTTTGTAACCCATCTTCCACCCTCCTCAAGAATTCTGGAGAAAACCAAAGGGAAAATTCTGCATATATGCAATATAGATGGTCCCAGGAGGGTGCAGAAATGGGGAGAAGATACAGGTTTCCCAAGCATACAAAGGATTTACCTTTCTCTTTCCCTGCGGTGTCTGTAACTTGAAAGTTGGGTTGGCATGGCCAGTCCCACCATTCTGGGTCACCTTGAAGGGGCAACTGGAAACAGAAAAATGGAAGCATGTAACCACAGGTGCTATCAAAGACGAACTTGTCCCTTCAGGTTCCAAGTTGCAATCAATGTGTCCAGATTTTCCCCTCCCCTACATTTCTTTCTACTCCAATCAAAAAGAAGGAGTTCTTGTTCCCCTCTGTATGATTCCTAGCACTCACCCCACCATGCTCCATCCCCATCTTTATAGCCTGGTCTAAGAATGATACACAGGCCCGGCCCTCTGAAGATGGAAAGCATCACAAATTCTTTTTGGGCTTCTACCTTTCCAATACTACTTTTCTTCCTTCCAGGCTGGATCCAGCAGAAAGCTTGGGCTTGGGCCCATGGACACAAAATTTAATTTAATTTGTCAGTCAAAGCCTCTGCATCAGAAGATTTTGCATTAACTGTGGTTGGTTTTGGTTAAAGGAGAAAAGAGGAATGAGAGGGGGAAGTGATGGCGGTTTAAAAAAAATGAAACAGTCTAACACACGCCAAAATAGAAAGTCTCATGTCCTGACTCCAGAGACAGAAATGGGATGGGGCAATTTGGCTTTGCCCAATCTCTGTTCCTCTGTACCAGCTGTCCCCCCACCCCCAGCCTGGAGTGCACTCACCTCAGCCTCAGAGAATCTCTCATTTACTTTTCAAGGCATATTTCAAGCACCACCTTCTAATCTACACAAAGCCTTTCCCTGGACATCTCAAGTATTACTTCCTTCTTTCTCTAAACACTTGTATTGAATAACCTTGTGTTTGTTTTGTATTTATTCTACACATAATGATATATTTACATGTTTTCCCATAGATTACACGTTTAGCATTTAACGTAACATTGTCCGTTTTATTCTCCTGGAGAGTAAGGGTTGTCTCATTTTGCTGTTTTGCATGACAAGGGCCTGGCACACTACTGTGTGCTTAATAAATGTTTATTGATTGGATGATTAATTTACTTCCAGGGCACTGAAATTTGGAAAGTGCTGATGGCCCTTCTACTTACTCATCAGGCAAAAATACCTGAACTTAGAACCAAGTTAGCAAAATTATTAGTAAAAATAAGAAGATACCAGACAGCTGTTTCATCCCCAGCCCTAAGTAATCTGGAGAGCTGATAGCTGCATCCCACATGAACTCTTCCTCAGGGCCTAGAAATATTTTTCTCTTCTTTTTTATTTTTTTTGCTTTTTGGTGAGGCAATCAGGGTTAAGTAACTTGCCCAGGGTCACACAGCTACTAAGTGTTAAGTGTCTGAGACCAGATTCGAACTCAGGTCTTCCTGACTCCAAGGCCAGAACTCTATCCACTGCACCACCTAGCTGCCCCCAGCCTAGACCTGTTTTTGTTCCTCACCTGCTGGTCCCCTTCTCCACCAGCAGCTTTATGGTACCCTAGGGTCTATGCCCACAGGGGCCAGTATCCTTGTGTTTCTGCCTCCCTTCTCAGGGTGCCTTCTGTCACAAGGACCAAGATCTTTTCCCAATGTCCCCCTTCCTATTCCCCCCAACCCTGACCTTGCCTGAAACAAGAGCTCTGAATACTTGGCTCTACTAAGACTTAAAACTGTAACTATCAAGCAATCAATATACACCCCCTCCTAGGTGCCAGGCACTGTGCTAAGTGCTGGGGATACAAAAAAAGAGGCAAGAGACAGTCCTCGTCCACAAGGAACTTACAGTCTAATGAGGGAGACAACAAGCAAATATGAGTGTGTGTGTGTGTGTGTGAGTGTGTGTGTGTATACACACACACACAAACTAGATGGAGGATAAATAAGAAATAATTAACAGAGGGAAGGCACTAGAATTTAGAAAGGTTGAGGAAGGTTTCCTATGGAAGAAGGGACTCAAAGGCATCTATATTAGTCGGTAAGCTGAGTTGAGAAAGGGGAGCAAAGGCATGGGAGAAAGCCAGAGAAAATGCTTGGAGCTGAGAGATGCATCTTCTTGTTCATGGAAGAGCCAGGAGGCCGGGGACACAGGATCAGAGAGCACACGTCGGGGAGTAAAGCATAAGAAGACTTGGAAAGGGCAGAGGAGGCTAAGTTATGAAGGGTTCTGAATGCCAAACTGAGCATTTTGTATTTGATCCTGGAGGCAACTGGGGACCAGTGGAGTTTGTTAAGTAGGGGGTAGAGTGGTTAAATTCACGCTTCAGGGAAATTACTTTAGTGGTTAAATGGAAGACAGATTGGTGTGGGGAGAGACTTAAGCAGGTAGGCCATTACAGAGGTCCAGGTGTGAGGTGATGAGGGCCTGCACTAGAGTGATGGCTGTGTCAGCAGAGAGAAGAAGGCATATTAAAGAGATGAATCAACAGCTCTTGGCAACACATTGGTTTTGGGGAGGTGAGAGCTGAGAGGAATCTAGGATGACGCCTCATTTGCAAGTCTGAGGGACTGGGAGGAAGGTGATTCTCTCTCCAGTAACTAGAAAGGTGTGTGTAGCGTGGGCGGGGGGGAGGGGTTTGGGGGAAAAGATAATGAGTTCAGTTTTGGACGTGTTGAGCTTCAGATGGATATATAAGTCAAGATGTCTAAAAGGCAGTCAGAGATTCAAAGTTGGAGGTCAGCAGAGAGCTTAGGACAGGAAGGAAAGATTTGAGAATCATTAGTATGGAGATGGTAATTAAATCCATGGGAGCTGAGATCACCAAGTGAAGTAGTATACACTTAGAGAAGACAAGAGGGCCCTGGGACAGAACTACTATATCTCTTTGATAAGAGGCTTCTGAGTTTTACATTTGAGAACCCCAGGGGAAGGGTGACAGCCATTTGTGGGAAATACAGTGTCTCCACAACTGTCTACAATAATTAATGATTTCCCAGGCTATCAAAGATGATGTGGGTGAACTGGCTTGGCAATGCAAAATGCCAAGACATCCTTGTAGACTGGTGATCTGAGGGAACTTTTCATGTTGCTCTATGCTGCCAGCTCCACATACCAGAACCTTTCATTACAGTCTCCCTGGTCTAGGATCCTGCTAGATCTAGCCCTTTATCCAAAACTAGTTCATCTCTAACCTCCAAAATCCAAAAGAGGACAAAAATGACCCCAAAAGGTCCAGCTATAATGTTAGACTTCTAAGGGACTTGTCATTAGAAGGTGAGGGACTCAAGGCAGGGAAACCAGCTGAGGGGGAGCATTATAATTGTCCAGGAGTGTGATGATCAAGCTCTAACTTAGAGTAGTGGCCGTGTGAGCCACAAGGTCAAGACATTCATCTCACCTGAACTGTTGCCTCCACTTGGAAGGGAGAGCTGAGGGCTTGAGCGGGCCCAGTCTGTGCCTTTTGCAGTAATAGAGCACTACAAGGATGATACCCAACAACAAGATGGCGGCCAACACTCCAGCTACCACAGGGCCAACACCTACCAGAAAGAGAATGAAGAAACCAAACTGGAAAAAATCCTCTGAATGCAAATGCTAGGGTCATTTAAACTGAAGAAGCTTCTGAGAAAAATAAGGGATCATAATTATAATTACTGTAACAAGCTGCTCCCAAGGTCTTCCACTCTTCCCTCCCCACTTGTTTCATTCACTGTCCTAGAATGCAGGGAATGACAAAGATGAGGGTATCTCACTCACTCTGGGGGGGCATGGGCCCACTGTCGATGCTGCCTCCATGGCCCACAGTGTTGCAGAAAGGTGGAGCCCACCCTTGGAAGCAATGACAATTCTGTTTATTGTTACAGACCTGTGGTGGGAAGACAGGAGGCATGAAAGTCTGCCATGTGGCAGCCCCACCACCACCACCTCCCTCCACTCCCTGTGCAAACAGATGGAGGACAAGACATGGATGGGACTTCTGTCAAGACCTACCCCATTGCCATGGCATTTCTTCCCACAACCTTCAGTTTCAAAAAAGGAGGTGTTCCTGCATTGTCCCTCGAAGCAAATCTGTAGGAGGAAGGAACTGAGTCAACCATAAACTGGGAATCAGGAACCTTGACTTCTAAGACTTGTCTTTATCAAGACTGAAGCCACTGCACCCCTCTGAGATTCCATCTCTTCATTTTGAGATTCCCCCAGGAGAAGGCAGAGAGCCATGCTCAGAAGGCCCTGTGTCCTCAAGGCTATCAGCAGTCATTAGTCATCCCTCAGGCTATAAAAGATGATGCTAGTGAACCTGGCTTGGCAAGCATGGGGCTGCAAGATTCTACCCCTGGGCATCTCTGTATTGTGGTTCTGAATCAGGGAAATACAAGAGACAGAGAATGGAATGTGGGTTAGGTATTAAATACATGAAGTGAGAGGATTTACAACACTAGGGAGTGAGAAAGAGGAAAAAGACATCTAGATGTGGACCCTTACAGCTTATTCCACTTTCAGAGTGAATGAATATTAAGCAGTGAGTGTACTGGGGGAGGAGGGAGGTCAAGGACAAAGGAAGAGGTAGGTATCTCCTGGTTGTGTGTCCCTGAGTCCTACAAGGCTGAGAGCTGTGGTGATAATCCTTACATTTACTGTCTATCTGAGTAGTACAGTGTAGTACTGAGCTCCCAGTGGTCTCCACACAAGAAAAGAAAGTGCTAAGAGAGAAGCCAAGAGACAAGAGCCCAGGGGTAACCAAAACTATTGCTAAGTGGTGACGTGCCGGCAAGCACATATGAGTGTGTTTAGGACAGTTCATCTGCAAAATGAAGCTAAGTGATGGCTGCTTTGCCAGTGTACATGAAGGGTCATTCAGAGGTACAAAGTGTGATACAAGTGTACTGCCGTGGAGGTAGCTGTGGTCAACTCTAAATGAATGGAAACAATAGGGCAGTTGATAGTAAGCAGAATAATCCAAATAGCCCTGACTATATCATTTAATGCCACAGAATTGGAGTATTCATCATCTAATGATATTTCATACCAGAAATAAGAAGCCATTTTCCCCTACAGTCCCCACCCCCACCCCTTGCAATAACCTCATGAGTGATTGGCTGTCCTCTGTTAATAGTAACCTTGGCCTTTGTGGTAATGGGTAGTGTGGACTTCATTACCCTCAAAGTCATCCTATTCCACTGGGGGACAGCTCTAAGGGCTAGGAAGTTCTTTCTCATCCTAAGGTGAACTCTATCTTGTTGTATCACCTTCCATCCATTCGTCCTTAGTTCTTCCCTCTGAGTTCAAGTGGATTAAGTCTAATCCCTCTATCTCCATGTTTCCAATGGGAAGCTTTGCATTTGGGGATTGGATGAATTTATACAGTTACTTTATCCCTACTGTCCACCTTGTCCCTAATACTCTTCCTCTATGACAGGCTGAGGGGCTCATCCCTGACATCCCCAACTGTAATACCCAGACTTGCTGAAGCCCATTCTCCACTATTGCAAGGTAGGGGCACTTACGTGATTATAGCCACACTTGGTTCCCGTCATCACCAGCCCTGGATCCAGCATGTCTCCCTCTTCCTCCGGACCTCGGTATACATGGGTGCCCCGGCAGCGGATTTTCTTCCCATTCATGGTGATGGTGGTATCAATAGGCACTGCATTGGACTCCAGGGGTCTGGCCTCTGAACTCTGACACTGGATCTTCCCACATTTAGCATCTCTAAACCCAATGAAGAAAAGGGGAGGTGGAACTCAGGGAAGAATACAGAGGCCTATAGTAACCACAGAGCAGACTTCCTTCTTACCATGATCAGTAAGACTGGCCCTAACTGAAAGGTCCTCTTCTCAGTGAGCAAAGAATCCTTCTCTTGAGAGAGACTATACAGAGCAAAGCCAAAGCAACATGACTTTGGTTCCTGTAATCACTAGCCCTGGAGCTAGCATTCATTTCTTCCTCTTCCTCCAGACCCTGATGTACATGGGTGCCCTGACAATGGATCTGCCTCCCATTCATGGTGATGGTGGTATCAATTGGGCAGGAGAATTGGCCAAGGCCAATTCCCCCTTTATGGGAGGAAGGAAAGCTAGAGTGACTGATAGCACAGTTTTGTAAATTGTTTGTTTGTTTTTCCAATCATGAGAAGAAATTAGCAGTGATTCATCTCCCTTCTGTCACCAGGCCCTGGTTTAGAAAGGCCTGCAACTATAAACAAGCATGACAGAAGAACAGGCAGTTGGCCAGGGTCCATCCTTTGCTGCGGCCCATTTGGAGCTTACAGAGGTCCCCAGCTTCCCTGGGGTCAGGGCTTGACTGGGTATGGTGACTAGAAAGACCTTTTTGTCAGTCCTTTCCTCAATCATCACCTCATGGCACACTTCTTGTGTTCTCCATTCATGTCCTTCCCACAATTCCCAAAAGGGTCTCCTGCTACGTTCACCTTCTCAAAGCAGAGGTCAGGGGCAGGGCGAGCTCCTGGGAAGAGAAAAGAACACATTTATCAAATAGCCTCCTTCTAGAGAGCTCAGAAGAAGTCTTCTGCAAAACTATACCATCAGTAAGTTTGTACTGGGAGATTCCCAGAACCCCTTTTATGTTCTGTTCACTCCCCTCTGTACTACTCTTATAATAAAAATAATAGAGCACTGATATAGCACTTTAAGGTTTTGCAAAGTGTTTAACAAATATTATCCCATTTGATCCTCACAACAACTCTAGGAGGTAGGTACTATTTTTACCCCCATTTTACAGATGAGGAAACTGAGGCAAGTCAGAGATTAAGTGACTTGCTCAAGGTCACACAGCAAATAGTGTCTGAGGTCAGATTTTAAGTCTTCCTGATTCCAGGTCCTCTTCACCACCTAGCTGCCTCCAGGACCCATGTTTTATTTTGTTGATTTTATTTTTTTACTTTTGGCAAATAAGTTTATATAAAACTTCCTAAATCTTAAGGCACCATATGTATGAGTTGTGAGGTTCTCTTAGATGCTATATTACCCCCTGGCATTTAGAGGAAAAAATCAGGTTGAGATAAGAGCTTTTGGGAAGATTGGTATGTCTTCAGGGGAAACCCTTACCAGGACCCCAGAGTTGTTGGCACTGCTCCTGGTAGGTAAGGCACATGCCATTGTAACAGTAAGCCTGCCCGCCTTCACATGGGGTGCCATCCATCTGGTAGAAGTTGGTAGGACAATGAGGTGACTTGCCAGTACAGAACTCCGGGAGGTCACACTGCCGGGACTGCTCACGGCACAGAGTGCCTGGAGGTAGTAGCTGAGTCAGAAGGAAAGAAGGAATAAATCAATAAGGCCCCTTCATCAGTATTCACTTTACATTCCTTAAGACTTTTCTGATTTCCCATGTTTAACCCCAATACTCTTCCAGTGATGTGACAAGGCTGTTGATTTTGGAAACCCATAACCTCAGAAGTATCAAGATTGTGGATGATCCAAGGGGCAACAGAGGGACAAATATCATTAAGGACAGGACCAAAAAAGGAAGTGGGTCAGTTAAGCACCAAATACAAGAAGTCATAGATAGACACAACAACTGTTCCATAAATATCCATTAAATAGTAAAAGACTTGGGAGGAGAACCTCAGTTTACTGGGCAGGTACTGTATGGAGAACTTATAAAAGGATAGACACTGAAGACTTGTGGGAACACCATGGGAATGAGTGTGCACACCACTGAGGCAGCAAAGTATTCATTCCCACAACACTGCACATATACTCTCTCATTAACTCAACTCCTTCCCAACTTCATCCCTACTGGGATTCCAATGAAAGTCTGGTGGGCAAGAGTATAAGCAGGCTCCTATCTCTCCCCCTCCCTATTTCTTCACCATCGTTCAGAGCCTCACACCTTCTGTTCAGCCCCACTTCTACACCCCTGAGGAGGCCCCAGGCCCATCCTAGACATCTTGGGAGCTACTCTGGAAAGAACAAGGAAAAACTATGCCCTTCTCTGCAACCTTTCAGCCAACTACAAGCAGCATAAACTTGAGTTGAGGAACTATTGGCTGTGAACTGACTTTATGAATGAAACCTCAGCTACACTTTGGAAAAAGAGCAGAGCTGCATTAGGGGAGATAAGGATCTTTAGCAACAGGTTGTTAGCAATCAATGTTCACTAAGTCTCAGGCCCCAGAATGCATTCTGCCCCTTGTTATGTATCTGTCTTCCTTAGGGGACATTGCTCAGGGTTCTCTATTCACCACTAAGACAGGTAAAACAGTTCCTCCTGGGATAATAAACCAGGTCTTCCGCTAGTCTCCCAAAGAAAGCTAAGCCCATACATCTTGGCAGCTTTAAAGAATGGAAAGGATAGTTTCTTGGGATGGTTAGAGTTCAGACTGACCTAGAGACAGGGTGATAGACTCAGTGCTCATTGGTGGTCCCTTCCCACTGAAAGCTTCTCTGACTCCTATTCATCTCCCTCCCCCAATGGAAGATGGTCACGGAGCCCCTGACCCTCTCTGGGGTAGCCCTGTCTCCTCACCTTGCACTGGCTGCAGCAGGAGCCATGTGCACACTCCGCCCCTGGTTTCAGAGTACAATTAGAAGCATTGCAGCAGGGATTGTGGCATTCCTAGGGGAGAGAGAAGGAGTCAGGAGGTGTTTACAGGGCTGATAAGAAGAGGTGGTGAAGCTGAGAGGGTCACAGAAATCCATTTGCCTCCCTTCCATGTCCCCACCCTTCCATCCAATGAGCCACAGACTCCAGAAGGTAGGGTCCCAGAAGTCCACACCTTTCAGAGCCACTCATTGGCCCACAACTGCCCAGGTTAAAGCCTTTAAAACAAGGGGCAGGTGGGACATAGCTCAGTCTCCTGGGTTCTGTCCCAGAAACCCCCTTTCTTACTAAAATTGACCTCAGCCAAACTAGTCCCTTCCACCCCTAAAACACTTTGAGTCTGCAGGTTGCCTGTGGCAGATAATCCTTCTCTTCCACCCCCTGGCCTCAGTGGGGCTAATTTACTAATCAGATGTGAGCTTCTCATGTATGAATCATACACAGCAAGCTGATAAAACTCTCAGTTGACATTTGGAGCTTTCTCATTACAATCATGCTAGAGGCTCGGGGATTCAGTGGAGGAAAGGCAGGGTGGTAGTTCTGAGCAGGACTTATCTAGAGAATATCTGGGCTTGGACATGAAAAGAGGACCAAGTTTTCCCCTGTTGGCCCTTATTCACCATCTTCAGGGAATTATTTATTTATCTACTCTTCCCTATCCTTAGGATCACAGTATTTACAGCTGGAAAGATACCAGAGATCATCCAGTCCAATTGGAACGGAATTTATAGGTTCCCCCAATCCAACGTGATCCTTTCCATTTTACAGATGAGGACACTGAGGTCAAGGAGTGAAGTGATTTGTTCAGGGTCACACAAGTATGAAGTGACAGGGCAGAGATTCTAACTGAGGCCTGGTAAGGGTATATTCAGCACTCTAGTGGTCTGTCTACTAAACTAGCCTATCCTTCATTTTACAGATGGGAAATTGAGGCCAAGGGACTAGAGGTAGGCAAGTGACTTTTCCAAAGTTATAGAGACAGTAATTCACAGAGTCTGTAATTCACAGAGTCTAGTTCTCTGACTTCAAATCCTGTGGTCTTTTTTACTATACCAGGCTGTCTCTACATGACCTTTGGGATCAATTAATAATCAAATGTAGCATCCTTTTTTCTCCCCCTGAGTTTTAAACAGTCTCAAAAGTCCCTGTTTCTCCCCTCATGACCATATTCCTTCCCCCTTTCCTCCCAGCACCAAGTTCTTACCTCCTCCTCACCACAATCACACTCTTCCCCATCTTCCAGGTACCCATTTCCACACCTCTGGCCACCATACAATGTCCTGGTATCTGGCATGTTGGAAAGACACATGCCACCTCCTGACTGCAGGTACCTGTCCAGCTCCCTCCTGTTGCACCGGTTGAACACCTTGGGAAAGGGGTGCCTGGTAGAGAAAGGAACACAAAGCTGGCATGAACCCACCAGAAAACCACCAGCTGAAGCAGCAACATGGCAGAGAAGATGTGACATGAGTCTGTTTGAATGAGTTCATCTGCATGATGGTTACCAGAACTCTGCACCCATATTTCAAGCTTCCTATATCCTTTTGGGCTGGTTGGATTTTTCCATCTTTTATAATGATTGAGAGGTAATCTATAGACAGCCCCTGTGTTATGTTGCTTTCTTTACCACATCATGAGAACATGAGGAAGGTCTTTAGCACATTAGGTGGAACCTCCATGTTGAATTTAGGGGAGAATAAGGCCAAAGCAAGCACAGGATGGGCACAAATTGATCAACTATAATCTACCCTGTTGAAGAAAACCTCTAAATTGTTGAACTCTCAGATCCACACTAGAATATCTCACTATGACAACATGGCATTCTCAGCTTTATTTTTGCTTCATATAGCACCAGAGCAAGTATTTGAAAATCAAAGACAGTAATATCAATATTGTGCATGGGTGATACAGATTTTGTGTGTCTCAGCAGAGTTGTAAGCATTTTAAGGAGGTTGCTGTCCCCTTAAAACTGATGAACAAGCCAAAAAGAGTTTCCTGAAATTTATTCATCAATGCATTCATTCATTCATTCATTCATTCATTCAATAAATATTTAATAAGTACCTACTATGAGAAAATTTCTATTCTGTGCTGATGGAAATACAGAGTTTAAAGGAAAGGTAATATAGCACAGTGGATAGCTGCTGGATTTGGAGTCAGGAAGGCATGGATTTGAATCCTGCCTCAGACATTCATTAACTTTGTGACCCTGAGCTATTTATTTAACTTCTCTGAGCCTCAGTTTCTTCATCAGTAAAATGGAAGTAATAATAGCACATATCTAATAGGGGCCTTTGTGAAGATCAAATGAGATACTGCACATAGAATACTTTGTAAACCTTAAAGTCCTGTATAAATTCGAGCTGTTATGATTTTTACATAAGCTTTAGTCCCTGCTATCATGGACCTAACAGTCTAATAAGGGGATAAAGACATAAACATATAAAGCCATAATATTCAGCATTACAAATAGGTATGTTAGCGAGAAATATTAAAACAACAATTTTATGTGAGGTGAGAGGGTAAAAGTCATTGTAGACAAGAGGGATCAGGAAAGGCTTCTTGGAAAAGGGTAAGGGAACAATACTTTTTTTTAAATTTCAAATTAATTATTTTTTAACTTCATTTTTTAAAATTGAGTTCCAAATTCTTTCTCTCCTTTCCACTCTCCCCAGTCCAGGCAAGAAATGTGCTATCAATTACACGTGTGAAGTCATGCAATATATATTTTCATACTAGCCATGTTGCAAAAAAAAAACCAAGGAAAATAAAGAAAGTGAAAAAAATATGCTTCAATCTGCATTCGGACTCCATCAGTTATTTCTCTGGAGATAGATATTATTTTTCATCATAAATCCTTTGGAATTGTCTTGAATCATTGTATTGATCAGAATAGTTAAGTCATTCACGAGCACTGTACAATATTGCTATTACTGCGTACAATGTTCTCCTGGCTCCGCTCATTTCACTTTGCATTAATTCACATAAGTCCTCCCAGGTTTCTTCTGAAACTATCTTGCTAGACATTTCTTATAATACAATAGTATTCCATCATAATAATATGCCGTAACTTGTTCAGCCATTCCCCAATAATGATAATTCCTTTGATTTCCAATTCTTTGCCACCACAAAAAGAGTTGCTCTAAATACCCTTATACAAGTAGGTCTTTTCTCTTTTTTGTTTATCTCCTTGGGATACAGATCTACTGCTAGGTCAAATGGTATACACAGTTTTACAGCCCTTTAGACATAGTTCCAAATTGCTCTCCAGAATGGTTGGATCAGTTCACAACTCTACCAACAATGCACCAGTGCCTCAATTTTTCCACATCCCTTCCCACATTTGTCATTTTCCTTTTCTGTCATATTAGCCAGCCTGATAGGTGTGAAGTGGTACATCAGAGTGAACAAGCATTAATCAAGTGCTTATTACATATGCCAGGCACTGTGCTAAGCACTTTATAAATATCATTACATTTGATCCTCACAACAACCCTGGGAGGTATGTACTATTATGATCCTCATTTTACAGTTGAGGAAACTGAGACAGAAGTTAAGTGACTTGCCTAGGATCACATAGCTAGTAAGTGTCTGAGGCTCGATTTTAATTCAGATTTTCCTGTCTCCAGGGCCAGGGCTCTATCCACTGTGCCACCTAGTTAGAAAAGATAGCATTCAAGTTGGACTTTAATTTAAACGAAGGGCAGGAATTCACTCAGCATAGATGGAAAAAGAAAACATTCTAGGGATGTGGAATAGCATAAGCAAAGGCAAAAAGAAATGTGTGTTTTGGGGAAACAACATGGTTCAGTTTGCTAGGAATGCAGATTTTATAGAGGGAAGGGACATGGGTGAGAGGGGATGGAACTGTCAGGTGGGGCCAGTCCTGAATGTGAGACATAAAAGTCTGAACTTTATTAAGAAGACAGGCAACTGGAAACCACTGAAATTTTTTTTTAAATTATTTAAGAATGCTTTAAGTAGATCAGAAGGCCATACCAATGAGGCCAAGGTCTTGGGCTCAATGGCCATGCCAGACAGCTTAGTTCTGTTACATGGTCACAGACCATACCCCTAACTCTAGCCAGCCAATTATCTCATAAATAGGTATTATTGATCACAACAAGAACTGCTCAAGAAGGTGTGGATGATTCAATGAAAACATGTGCCTGTGTAGTTCTTTCAGGGGATGGGAGGAAAGGAGAGGTACCAAGACATAAAGCATGAGCTCTTTTAATGATGGGTTACCATGAAGGGAGCAGAACCAGGCAAACAATTCATACAATGACTATAATTCTGTCAAGGAAAACAACTGTGAAAAATCTCCAAATTCTACTCAAAGCAACGATCAATCACGATTCCAGAAGACAAATGATGAATCATGCCTCCCACCTCTTGGCCAAGCCATGATGGACAGAGGTACAGAATGAGACAATAATTTTCAGACCCAGCCAACATGCGGCTTGACTTTGCTTGACAGCTCTTGTTTATTACAGGGAACAGCTTCTGTTTGGGGGAGGAGCTCTAGGGGATGGGGTGCTTCTGGCTAGTGATAGTGGTGCAAAATGGAAATATAAAACATACTAACAGACATTAAAAATATTTGTATTGAATGGCTCAAAAGAGGCTCTGCTGAAAGTGAATTTCAGAGCTGGGCAAATTAAACATGGCAGACACTCGCTCCTCCGGGGAGATAAAGCCTCCCTCAGCACTTCCCTTGGTGGCTGTAAATACTTCTCCTCCTTTCTTCTTTCTCTGAGGGACACAGCAACGCTCCCGACAGAACCTGATCCCCTAATGTTACTTCACACACTGGTTGTTGTTGTTGTTGGCAAACACCCAAATCACCACTATAGTAATACTTGATAATCATGATAATGTCATGATAATTTTTGTGTAAGTGTGTGTTGTTTTTTTTTTTTTTTGGTAGTTTTCATAGTGCTGTCACATTTATTTTCTCATTGGTACCTTATAACAGAAAGGACAGGCATTATGATAGTCCTTTGTAAAGATGACCCTGAGGCCAGGGGAAGCAGGTACAGAGCCAAGATAGGCACCAAGGTCACCTGCCTTTGAGGTCACAGCATAGCATAGTAAAAAGGACAACAGACTTAGAATCAGACTACAGGGATTCACGTAGTGACTCCATTACCTAATGAGCTGTGGGGCCTAGGATAGTATGCATCTCTCTGAGTCTCCTTCTTCTCATAAGTAAAGTGGAGAGAATGAGGGAAGGGGAGGGAATGAGATTAGAAGCAGTGAAATGCTTTAATTACATTATATTATTATGAACATTCCAACTTCCTGCCAAAAGTTACAGAGCTCCACAATGACTTCTGAGATCCCTCTGCCCAAAGTTCTAACAAAGAACTTACTGACTCCTTTAAGATACACTGAGAAGAGCTGGCCACTGCCCTACCCCCCTCCTCCCAACCCTGCTCCTTACAGGCTTCTTAGTTAAGAGGCCTGGGGCTAAGTCTAAGATCTGCCACTAACTAGCTGCATTCCATTAGGCAAATTGCTCTCAATTTTCTCATTTATAAAATTAAGGATGATTTCCAAGATCCCAAGCTCTAACATTCTACATTCTAAGGTCCCTTCTAGCTCTAATATTCTTTGTTTTAAGGTCCTATCTCATTCTGTCTATATTCTGTGCTCTCAGGTCCTTTCTAGCTCTAACATTCTACGTTTTAAGGTCCCTTCTAGATCAGTCCATATTCTATGTTTGAAGGTCTCTTCTAACTCCAAGATTCTGCTCTAAGGTCTCTTCTAACTTTAACATTCTATGTTCTAGGGTCCCTTCTAGTTCTAATCTTTTATGTTCTGTGCTCTAGTGTCCCTTCCAGCACTGTATTCTGTGTTCTAAGATCCTCTACAGTTCTAACATTCTTTGTCTTTCTAGTTCTAGCACTCTAAGTTCTAAGGACTCTGTTAATTCTAACATTCTGTGTCCCTTCTAGCTCAGACATCCAGTGTTCTAAGGCCAGTTCCCGCTCTCTGCGTGACTCACCCAGTGGCAGCAGCCATGATGCACCCGCCATCTGCCGCGCTTGCTGAGCAGCAGTCTGCAGAGTCATGACTCATTCCAAAGTTGTGGCCCATCTCGTGGGCCATCGTGGCAGCGACCCCAATGGCATTCTCTGAGTGATCCTGAGCAAGAAGAGAGTTCAGCCAAGGTGAGCAGTTCTAGGCCATCACCCATAACCCTGACCTCCTCTAAAGATTTCCTCTGCCATTCTTTACTGATCCAGACTTCTAATATACACACAGACATTTAATAGGTGCTTTGAGAACCTATAATAGAGTGATTTGGGAATCATTTTTTCTTATAATTTAAAGAGGATGAACTTATAATATTCTATACTGGATCAAACACATGGTCTACACCCAATGTTATGCCTCAGATTGGGTACCTACCTACCATGGGACATGTTGTGCAAGGCCCTAGTTATTCTCCTTGACATCACCCTGAAAGGTTGAAAGTGAACCCCCAAAACATCCTCATGAGAAAGATCTCAGCTGAGGACAGCAGCTTTCCAGAGTATTTACCAACACCCTTTATTGCATAAGAACAGTTCTATTAATTTCCTAGCAACTCGGTTAGAACATACAGGAGAGTACAGTAAACTGAATATTTCTACAAGGGATTGAGGACCTGAATTGGGTCAGGGAGTAATGTTATCCCATCAGGAGTAAAATCTAGCTGAAATTCATGTTAAATTAATTGACCTGGATTTATGGTTCAGATGAATACACACCAGAGCCCAGCCTTTTAGCTTACATGGCAATTGCTTTCCTATCTCCTTTCCTCTGTTTTCTCATTAGGGATTGCAGAGAAGAGTTGCATGGGAGGCCTGAGACATGAGGTGCCCTCTGCCAATACTTGCTGGAATTGCCACCAGTAGTTCCCAGGAGGTCAGGGATGGGGAGTGGGGAGGTGGAAGCCAGTTATTTCAATCCAACAGGAAACATAGAGGCCGATTTGCAGGGATACAGGTTTCCTGGTTCATGCAACAATTTAATCAGCTTCTATTTACCTAGCTTATTGAATGGGACTCACCATGTTGACCCCTCCAGACTGGTACACGGAGCACATGGCCATCAGTGGGGCTAGGCCAATTGTAGTACCATGGAAAGACATTCCCCTGAAAGAAGAGAGAGGGTAATGAAGCTTGACTTGAGAGGATCACTTCAAAAGTAAGCCAGATATACAGAAACACCCTAATCACCAATGACCTATTATAGTTTCAGTGGTTTCATTGAAAAACCAACTTTTTTAAGCCCATCCTCTGACTCACAGACAAATAAAGGTCTTTTGGTCTCTGGGCCATCTCTATTGCTTCCAAGAGACCCAACCCCACTCCCTCACACCACCATTTTCCTTTAGTCTCTTCCAGGCAAACTCACAGAGGAGAAAGACAGAAGTCAGTGACTTCAAGAGCCAAAGATATAGTTTCCCTCTCTCCTCCCCTTCCTACAATATACCAATAGCCTAATCTACACTGGAAGGAAATGAGCAGGGTTTACAAATTGCTTCCCATTCATGCTGAACAGGATGAAGCAAGCTGGGTGGAGGAGGGGATAAGAAGGGGAAATGTGGCATAGGTCATGATGCCAAGATGATTCACACTCATATCCTTCAGGGGCCAAGCTTCATCATCAGCATCCCAGGCAAAAAGAGGGTTTTGGTGTGTGACCCCCATGTCAACAAAGCTAATGCCATCTTAGGCTGCATTACACACTTATAGGAAGAAATCTATAAAATCTGCCATGGTAAGATCACATCTGGATCTCATGCTCAGTTCCGGAGGCTAAGCTGGAAAGGATCCAGAGAAGGGTGACCATGAGTGAAGGGCCTCGAGTCCATATTATCTGCAAAACTGAGCTGAAGGAACTGAGTGTATTTAGCCTGGAAAAGAAAGGACTGGTGGGGACAGGGAGAGGAGAGGGACAACAGCTGTCTTTAAATATTCAAAGGGTCATTATATGGGAAAGGGACCAGACTTGTCCTGTTTGTTTTCAGAGGACAGGGACAGAAGGCATGGATAGAAGATGCAGAGATAAATTGAATCTCAACTTAAGGAAAATCTTCTAACAACTAGAGCTATCCACCAGAGGAATGGGCTGCCTTAGAAGGAGTGAGATCACCTTCAAGCACAGGCTGGATGACTACATGCCTGCTATGTTGTAGCAGAACTCCATTTGAAATGTGGGTTGGATTAGATGAAGACTGAGGTCCCTTACAATTCTCAGATTCTGTGGTGCTACTTTCTACTTTCCAAAGTTCCCTTCAAGTTCCAACATTCTATGTTCTGAGGTCCTTTCCAGTTCTAACATTCTTTTTTTTTCCTTCTTGAGACTGGGTCTCCCCATCTCACCCAGGCTAGAAGCACCACAACCACTCACAGGCCTAATCTCATTGCTGATTGGTAATAGAAGCTTTGATCTTCGGTTTTTCTGACCTAGGCCAGCTCAACCTTTCTTAGGGCAGCCTGGTGGTTTTCTGCTCCGGGGAGCTCAGCATATTATTTGCAGACTTAGTGTAAATACCCAATTAGAACCCCCAAACTCAAGTGATCCACCAGCCTCAGCAGCCCCCAGAAGCAGGGATTGCATCCTTCTTGAAAGAATGGGCCATAGCTTCCACGGCCCTCTAAGATTACCTTATACTTACACAGTATACATACGTGATGCACGTACTTATTTGTTGTCTCTCCATAGAATGTGAGCTCTTTGAAGATGAGGACCATGTTTTTGCCTTTCTTTGTATCCCCAGAACTGAGCACAATGACTGATACGTAGTCATAATTATTATGGTTAATATGCTTAATATAGTTATCATGCTTAATAAATGCTTATTGACTGATTTTGTGACCGAGCTTGGGAAAAGATAGTCCATACTGGAAACTCCCCAAAAGCTTGAGGTCCAAGTAGTCTAAACACAGCCAGAGCTCTGTTTTGCTGATACTTTCTCCAATTTTGTACCTTGAGAGTTTTTGTCATTAACTCTCAGCCTTTCCCTTTTTTACTTTTCCTAAGCTCTGGGCATCCCCTTTTCTTTGTTGTGTGCTTCTGGGGAGAAGAGACAAATGAGTGGGGAAGAAGAAATAGGGAAGATAAAAAAATCAAAACACGACAATCTCTGGTCAGTAATCTTTTAAGGAGAAAAAAAATTCTCCAATGAATCTGAGAACTTATTATTGTGTTTTCTCTCCACTAATATAGATTGCAACCCCTCCATGCTTTTTTATCCCATGCAATTCCTTTCCCATAGATCATCCCAGAAGATCTCCCCAATGTGATAGAAGCCTAACTCTCCTTCCTTTAACCTTTCATAGGATCATAATATCATAATTTTAGAGCTAGAAATGAGTTAGGGGTGAGATAATCCATCCACATCCATTTTACAGACAGGTCAAGTGATTGTTATTGCCCAAATTAGTAAGAGGTAGAGCCAAGACTCATGCCTAGGTCCTCTGACTCCAATTCAGCACCCTTTAGAAGCACTCCACCAGTATGACAGACACAGGCTTTTGTCCATTCATCTTTTATCTCTCTCTTGTTCTACAAGGCTAGCCCACTTCCTTTTCCAGCCATAGAGGTCCTCGATGAGGGCTTTTCTGCCATGTCTTCCTCTACCTCTTCAGATTAAATTCAAAAGCACTTGTGAATCTCCTAATATTTTCATAATCTGGGTGAGATGCTTGGGAAGACCCAAGGGGAGACCAAGACTGGAGTACTCCTGTGATCCAGCCAAACTGACCTTCTCTCTATTTCTCATACAGAGGATTCCATATCCCATCTCCAAGCCTTTGCACTGGCTGTTCCTCATGTCTAAAATGTACTCTTTCCTCATTCCACCTTACAGAATCTCTCTGTTCCTTCAGGACACAGCTCCATCACCACCTTCTAAATGACACCTTTTCTGATATCCCTGACTCCTAGGTGCCCTCTCTCCCTCCAAAACCACTTCATGTTTAACCATCTTGCATTTATTTGTCCTTATTCTCTTTATATTTATTCTGGAAATGCTGATAAATGTATTGTCATCTCCCCCATTCGAATGCAAGGTCCTTGAGAGCAAGGATTGCTTCATCCTTCTTCCTTGTGTCCCTAGAGCCTAGCGCAGTGTCTAGTAGGTACTTAATAAATACTTGTTTATTGATAGAATGATAACCATATAGCCATGATACCAGCCTACTGCAGAGAGTTTTCAAGAGTTGCAAAAAATATTTCAGGTGATATTCCATTGGATGGCTGTCCCCTTGCCCTCCATTAGGGTGGATTCCACCCTGCTGACCATTATATTAAAATACATCAATTGTTATTTGAATTGGCTGATTAGCAAATATCTTAGACTCATAGAATTTTCATTCTGAATAGGTAGGAGAGGTGGGAGTCTCCTGTTAGCTCATGCCCTTTGTCCTCTGATTGTCCTCCTCTATGCCCCTGGAGTCTATCTGTGGAGATCTAATGCAGGTTCCCAGCAAGGCTTTACTCTCATACCATGTAACTCTGCCTTTAATGCTCTCCTTTGTTAATGGACATTGGGTCCTACATCCCCAGAGATCATCATGGTAATGAGCATAAAAGTTTCCACCATGGGGAGAATAACCGGCCAGTTCATTCAGCCCAAGTATTTAGAGACAAAGAAGCCCCAGGGAACAGGTTCCTAACTCATGCACCAATTAGTTTTACATAAAGAAAACTCCTGACCACATAGTCAACTGTGTGATAAATGTGTGTTCTCTGTCCCAGGGGGGTTTGCTTCACTCCCTAATTGGTCATATCTTCCCCCTTCTTATGGGCAGGAACTATGCTTTATATTCCTTCTATGTTGCTTGGCACAGTGCTGGACACGTGGGATCATAGGATTGCTACCTAGAAAGGGCCTCAGCATAGTGCTTTGCACACAGGAGATGCTGAATAAATACTAGATTGAATCTAGTCCAAGACCCTCATTTTATATATGAGGAACCCGAAGCCCAAAGTCAAGTAGTAAGCAGTGGAGTCCAGACTTTAACTCAGGCTGAGTGACTGTAAATCTAGTACTCCCTCCACTCCCCAGCACTGCCTGCCAGTATGTGCTTAATCATTTCAGAGCCACGGGCAAACACCCTACCACAGGATATCCTGCTGATAGCCCCAGGGGATGAACTCGACAGCAGTGGGGACTTTGAGAAATTCCAATTAACAAGCACTTATGAAGTGCCTGCTCTCTCCCAGGCATTGTGCTGCACAATGCTGATGTAAGTAAGGACAAGAATGAAAAAAACCAATATCCTTAAGGATTTTGCTTCTATTCTATGAATCAGGGAAGTGATTAAAGGATCCTGCATTCATTACTTGTTTAGGACCCTTCTATTTTAAGGGAGGTCTACAGAGCTGTTCTCCTGACCTCATTGTTGCATGCCCATGAAACCTGGACAGTATATCAGAGCCGTGCCAGGAAACTGAATCGCTTCCTTCTGAATTGTCTTAGAAAGATTCTGAAGATCACCTATCAAAATAAGATACTGGACATGGAGGTTCTTTCTCTAGCTGAACTGCCAAGCATTCAAACTCTACTACAAAGAGTGCAACTCCAATGGGCTGGCCATGTTGTTCGAATGCCAAATATACGTTTGCCTAAAACACTATTTTTTTTTTTGGTTAGGCAATGGAGTTAAGTGACTTGCCCAGGGTCACACAGCTAGTAAGTGTTATGTGTCTGAGGCCAGATTTGAACTCAGGTCCTCCTGAATCCAGGGTCGGTGCTCTATCCACTGAGCCACCTAGCTGTCGCTCTAAAAAGACTATTTTACAGAGAATTCACACAAGCCAAGTGCTCACACAGAGGAAAGAAATGATACAATGACACTTTCAGGGTTTCTCTGAAGAACTCCGGAATTGATTATGAGACATGGGAGACATTGGCACAGAACTGCCCAGGATGACAGACCCACAGCAAAGAGAATTGCAATTGCTCAAAAGACATGTGAGATGCACAAATTTAGAGACATCTTCACTCCAAATGTTCACATGGACTATTTGTGCCCAACCTGTGGTAGACCCTTCCAAGATTGTATTGATCTGATCAGCCTCAACAAGACACACTGTACCTTGATTCCAACATAATGACACCATTTTGGTCCTCTTTAAGCACAAAGGACAACAACCAATAATTTTAAAGGATCAAGGGATCCTGCATCCATCACTGGTTTGGAACCCTTCTATTTTAAGAGATCAGGGGATCCTGCATCCATCATTTATTTGAGACTCTTCTATTTGTCCTGAGAACTTAGCACTGCTTTCCTAGATAGATTTGGAGATAGACTTTGGTCCTGGGCCAAAGAAGACAATGCTATTGCCCCATCAAAACCAGACAGACCAACCCCCTTTAAGACCAGGAAAGAGCACTTAAAGCCAAGTGGTCAAGGGAAAGTTTCTGAGCGGTTTTTGATAGCAAACCCCGGTCAGCACAATCCACATTTCTCGAAACATTCCTGGCTGTGGCCTCTGAAGTCTGACCTCTGCCCTGCTGCTGCTTTTGTACTCTCTATACCTGTTCCCCTGACCTAACCCTATCCTAGCCACCTTCACTCCTAATGACTGGCTCCACACTATAGCCTGCCATAGTTCCTTCTTTGTATCCCCAGAACCTAGCACAGTGCCTGGCATGGGCTCCCTAGTCTAGCCCCTTGGGGAAACCACCACCTCCCCCCAGCCTGGACCCAGGCCATCTCCTTGGACATCTCTCAGGAAATCCAAGTAATTAAATATTTACTCATGGTAAGAGTGGGCATCTGCAGTGCAAGCTTACCCAGCTCATTCTTTGTCTCATAGGCATTCATTATTTGAATCATGTAGTCTTTTCAAAATGGTTGCCCATTATGGTTTATAAACTGCTCTACATTATCTCTTTTGGTTCTCGCAATGCTTCTAGAAAGTAGTATTAGTACCCCCATTTTACAGAAGAGGAAACTGAGGTTCAGACAAGTTAAGCAACTAGCCTAAGGTCACACAGTAAGTAGTAGTAGAGCTGGGATTAGAACTCAGGTCTTCTTTCTCCAAATCTATTGCTCTTTCTAGTTCACCACCAATAGTGATGGGGACTGTTCTCTTCATAGAGGGAAGACAGTATATCTTAGCTCAGGAATAGGCCACATACGTGATCAACTGGGCATTGTCATGGTTCTTCTGTACAAGTAGCTTGCGCCTCCAGCTGAGAAAGGACCAGAGAGTAGAATAAGGATTCTCTGAGACTTCACACATATTTCCATGCGTCCAGACTTCCAAGCCCACGAGGGCAATGCGGATGTTCAGGGAGCGATAAAACTGAAAGGATAAGGAGGAAAAAACATTGGTATCTCTTCTTATTCTTCAGTTGTTTCATTCATGTCTGACTCTCTGTGACCTCATTTGGGTTTTTTTTTAGCAAACACAGTGGAGTGGTTTGCCATTTCCTTCTCCAGCTTATTTGACAGATGAGGAGATAGGCTGTGAGGCAAATAGGGTGAGGTGATTTGCCCAGGCTTACACAGTTAGTAAGTGGTGAACTCAGGAAAACGAGTATTCATCTAGTGTTCTATCTACTGCACCACCTAGCTGCCCTTCATATCTCTTCACTATCTTTTAAAAAAACATTGCTTTGGATTCACATCATCTTTTCCCTCCTAATTAGTCAAAGCATCAGTGATCACACTGGTTTTCTCAGCACCTCTTGGGGCATAAAGAAACGGGCATTAGGCCCATCTTTTAGATAGGGAAAAAGAGACAAAGAGATGAAAGGCTGCTGACAGAACCAACACTAGGATCTCAGGAATAAGAGCTAAAAAGATCCTCAGAGACCATCTTGTTGGTCTGAAACACATGACAACTGATAATCAGAGAGGTTAAGTGGAGGCAAGATGGCAGAATGCAAAGAGCACTGCAATCAGAGAATTGGGGTTGGAATCTCAACTCTATTATTTATTCCTTGATCTCATTCTTACTCACTGGGTAATGATGAGAAGTTCAAGTCTGGCCTCAGATACTTACTAGCTGTATGGCCCCAGGCAACTCACTTAACCCTGTTTGCCTCAGTTTCCTCATCTGTCAAATAAGCTGGAGAAGGAAATGACAAACAACTCTGATATCTTTGCCAAGAAAACCCCAGATGGGGTCACAGAGAATCAGTCACAACTGAAAAATAACTAAACAATAACAATAACAATAACAACCTGGTAACTCTAAAAGACAGGCAAACTTCCCACCTGCTAAAGCCCACGAACAATAGATAGTAAATGAAAAGCAGCAGAATCTGCCTCCTCCAGTGGCCGCGGGGGAAGCCAAGTTATCTCATTTTTTCCAGATGTTGTTATTGTTTGGGTCTGGGAATTGTCCCAGTATTATTGTAAAATAGGCTGAGGGCAGGACAGAGGTGCTACAATAATGACCCAGGGGACTGAGTCTTCTACTCATTCCTTGTCCAAGCTTGGCAGTAATAGAATCATGGCTTTCTTCCTTCCAGGTTCCCTTTCCTCCCTAATGCTCACCAGAGGGAGTAGGTTTGGGTCCCACTCAAGGATATATCATTTAACTGGAAGAAAAGTAAAGTCCCACGCTTGGGTCAATTTTTTTTTAATCAACTGAGAAAGTACAGAATGAGAGAGACAAGGCAGAACAGGGGCTACATTGAAAAAAAACTGGGTTTAGCTGACTACAAGCTCAATGGAAAGCCCCAAAAACCAATACCATGTTAGGGTACATGAGTAGAATTCTAGTTCAAACAAGCAGGACAGCTTTGAAAGTTACATGTTGAATTTATTATACACTTAAAAGAAAAAACAAGATGCCTATAATAGAGAACCACAGTCTCATATTGTCTCCTTTTCTATTCTGCTTTGTACAAGGAAATGTTCATTTTACTTGGTGTTGGTTGAGTTCAGAATAAAAAAAATTAAGTGATGAAGATGATTGTCCTGCTGTGCTCTGCCCTGGTCTTCCTGGCCCCCAAGTCTGCTGTTTAGTTCTGGGTGTTTCATTTTTCAGGAGAGATATTGACAAGCAGAAGGTAACTAGAGGGATCAATCAGGTGAGTAAATAGGACTGGAAAATATGCCATATAAAGATGTTTAGGCTTTGGGGGGATATAAGCACCACCTTCAAATATCTAAAGGGCTGTCACGTGTAAGAGGGAAGAGACTAGTTCTACTTGGGCCCAGAAATAAGATCACTAATGAAAATTAAAGGGGAGGTTTCTGGCTTGATAGAATAGAAAACCTACAGACAATGAGAATGCTCCTTATATGGAACAACTGGTTCCAGAAGGAATGAGTAGTCATCTCTGGAGGTGTTCAAGCAGAAACTGGACTGCAATTGGCCGGGGACGGAGCAGAAGAGATTCCTCCATTGGCATGGCATTGATCTCAGTGACTTCTAAGTTCCTTTCTAGTTCTAAGACCCTATAATTTCAAAAACTGTAAAATTCCACTGGAAAGAGACTTTGTGTTGTGAGGTTAACTTGTTCTGTGCCACGTAGATTACATAGAATAAGCTACCAAAATCCTGTTGTTGTTGTTGTTGTTTGGTAGTTTCAGTCATGTCCGATGCTTCATGACCCCATTTGGGGATTTCTTGACAAAGAGTGGTTTGCCATTTCCTTCTCCAGCTCATTTGATAGATGAAGAAACTAAGGCAAAAGGGAAACCAAGGCAAGTGACTTGCCCAGGGTCACACAGCTAGTAAGTGTCTGAGGCCAGATTTGAACTCAGGAAGAGGAGTCATCCTGACTTTAGGCCTGGCAAAATCTTAGAGTAGGAAAATGCCTCAGAGGCTCAAATCTCCTCTTACAACATCCCTGACAAGCGGCCATCTGGTCTCCACTTGAAGACCTCCAGTAATAGTAAACTCACCACCTCTTGAGGCACCTTATTCTATTTTTGAATAATTTTAATTGTTGATTTTTTATATATATTAAGGGGAGAGAGTGTGTGGTATAGTAAATAAATAGCTGGCCTTGGAATCAAGAAGATCTTAGTTCAAGTCCCATCTCTGATACGTGCTGGCCCTGGAAAAATCATTTACGCTTTCAGTGCTCTAGGCCAATGGTGTCAAACTCAAATGGAAATGAGGACCCCTACACTGCACATAAGGATTCCTGCCAGCCATACACCAAATTAGAAAATCACATGTTAACACTATCTGTTCTATTCTTGACACTAAAATGAAGAACTGTACATGTATTTTAAAATGTATTTTTTAAAATTTGGTTAAATATTTCCCAATTTCACTTTAATCTGGTGCGGGCCATGTGTGTTTGACACCTCTGCTCTAGGCAAATCTCTAACACTATAGTTTGAAAGGAAGGTGCCTTACCTACATTAGTAGAGGGAGTTTCCTTCACCTGGGAGTCCCCTATACCAATGAAATCCCCAGTTCAGTCCCTAACCTATCAAGTTGAAATCTATCTCTCTGTACCTTCCTCTCCTTGCCTCCAGTTCTTCATTCTAGTGTCAGGAAAAACAAATACTTGAAGGCTCAGTTATCAGCTTCCCAGATCCCAGCCCCAAGCTTTTTCTTCTCTAATCCAAATATCTCCAGGACTTCAGCTGGTTTAGTGGTCCTTTCACTATCAGGGTCACCCTCCTGTAGGCATACTCCAGCTTGTCAAGGCTTTTCTTAAAATGTATTGCTCATAACTGAATACAATAATTTGATGTAGTTAGAGTTCATGTGAAAAAAATTGGGGGGTTTTCATGAACTGAAACTCAATAGGAATCAATACTGTTATGTAGTAACCAAAAAAAGCTGATAAGAGATCAGGCAAGTCTAATGTACAGAACAAAAAAAAAAGGACATAGGTCTATGGTTTTGGGAAACCAAGCTTAGGACTTTATACTTATCCATATTAAATTTAATCTTATTACATAGGTTCATAATTAAACTCATATTTTAGCCCATCAGGATATTTTTAATTGAAATTCTACTATTCAAAGTATTAGCTAACCCTCACTGATTTGTGTCATCTGACGATCTGGTAAACTACTATCTGTGACTTCATCGAGGTCATTGTTAAAAATATTGAGCAAGGCAGGTTCAATGGGAGAGTCTTGTGGCACTCCACAGCCTTCCATGTTGACACTGATCCATTCATCATCACTTTTGTGTGTCTATCAATCAGCTTTAAACCTATTTTATTTTCTAACCTGAATGTCTCCATCTTGCCCATTAAAACATCATGCAATATTTTGTGAAATGCCTTGTTGAAATTCTACTCAATTATGTATATAATATTCCTCTGATTTATTACTCATCTGATAGTTAGATCAAAGGAAATGAGGTTACTCTGGCACAATTTGCTCTTAATGAAGACATGATGGCTCACAGTGACTACTGTTTCTTTTTCTAGAATTTTCATACACTGTCCATTTAATAATCCATTCTACACACCTGGTCTCACCTTATCAACATAATTAGCGATCTCCATGAGTTTGTGCTTGGTGGCAACCTGGTCTCGACGGTTCTTCTGAAACTAAAAGGAACAAACAAAAAACCAGGTGATTCCTCAGAAACAGGCTCAGAATGTCTATTCCCTTTTCCCCATTAATACTGATAACAACTGAGCATCTTATATGCGCTCTATCTTTTACCAAATTATGACAAGTTCATCAAACTTTCTTAGGACTCAGAGCAGGGAAAGATACATTAAATCTTGCCATTCTCAGTCCTATCCATGGTTAGGGTCATCACCTCCATGTTGCTCAGGAGATATCCCCAAATATTACCATTCAAGGAAATATGTCTAATAATATTGAAAGCTTCAGAGGGAGTGTGGCATAGTGAGTAGAAAACTGACTGAAGTCAGGAAGGACTGTGTCGAATTCTGGACACCACAGGAGGCTAACAATGACACTGATAAACTGAAGAATGACTAGAAGAAGGTAACCAGCTTGGCGAAAGGCTTTGAGACCAGATCATATGAGGACTGGTTGAAGGAATTAAGCATATTTAGCCTTGAGAAGAGAAAATTCAGGGGTGACATGATAGTTATCTTCAAGTATATGATGGGCTGACATATGGAGAAGGGATTAGACTTATCCTGTTTGGCCCTAGAGAAAAAACCAGAATCCAATTTAGGATCGATGTCAGAAAAAAAAAATGTCCTAACAATTAGAAGTATTCACAAGCAGAACAGGCTTAGAGGCCTCCAAGCAGAGGTCGGATGATCACAGCTGCCGAGGACCCTCCCAGCTCCCACATCCCGCGACTCAGTGATTCCTGCCTCTAACACAGATTGGCTACATGAGGCTGGGCAAGTCACTTAATCTCTCACTACTCCCAAGCAACGCTCTAGGACTATAAGGTTCAGATCTTCTGCAATGATGGAGGAAATTTCCTCAGAGGGGTTCTGTATACCAAAGAGAGCATAAGTCAGAGGAACAGGAGGAGGGGTGATGAAGAGGAGGAGGAGAAGGAAGAGTAAAAAGAGGAGGAGGAGGAGAAAAAGGAGGAAAAGAGGAGAAAGAAAAGGAGGACAAGGAAAAGGAAAAGGAGGAGAAGAAAAGTAGCTAGATGGTGCAGTGGATAGAGCACCAGGCCTAGAGTCAGGAAGACCTGAGCTCAAATCCATTCTCAGACACTCACTAGCTGCATGATCCTGGGCAAGTCACTTAACCCTGTTTACCTCAGTTTCCTCATCTGTAAAATGAACTGGAAATGGAAATGCAAACCACTCCAGTATCTTTGCCAAGAAAACCTCAAATGGGGTCACAAAGAGTTGGACACAACTGAAAACAACTAAACAGTAGTAGTAGTAATAGTAGAAGTAGTAGTAGTAGTAGTAGTAGTAGTAGTAGTAGTAGTAGTAGTAGAAGAAGAAGAAGAAGAAGAAGAAGAAGAAGAAGAAGAAGAAGAAGAAGAAGAAGAAGAAGTAATAGTAGTAGTTTCAATTAACAGAAGACTAAGTTTTACAAATAATTTGTTGACAATAACCCCTTGAGGTAAGGAGTATAGGTACTGTTATTCTCCTTTTACACATAAGGAAACTGAGGAATGGTGATTTGGTGAACCCCCCAGAAGCAGAAGATCAACAGGTTGCTTTAGGAGGGGTAGAGCAACCCAGATCAGAAAAATGGATCAGGTTAGAGCTTTGGTGCTGATCATTCACCGGATCAGTCCCATAACTCAATGTTGCTCTTCTAGCTTGGGTGACATAAGGAGACCAAGTCTCAAAATAAAAGAACATATAAGAGAACAGAGGCAAGTTGAGAAGAGAACACACACAAGCAGAGCAGTTGGATACTACTGTGTTAAATTCAATAGGCACTTTTAAAATTCTATTAATAAAAGTTCCCTTTCATATATAATCTTCTCTTTTCTGTTATTTTCATATTGAAAGGTTCATGTCTATTAAGTTCATGATAAAAAAAAGAAAAGAACAAAATTTAAATAAAGAAGATAGATTCACAGGAAGAAGTCCAAGAACTACAGGGGGAAATATGATAAAGAATATTTGAGTGAAGATCAATATAGGCAGGAATAGAAGCAATATCATAAGTGAAATTTACTACAGATGACCTGGACAAAAAGAGGAAATGTATTAAGACATCTTGGCACACAGTCACGATATTGCAGTGACAGGGGACTTCAATTATTCAGACATCTGCTTGTTCTCTCTCTCTCCCCTTCCCTCCTTCCCCTTTCTCTGTCCATCTCTCTCTCTCTCTCTCTCTCTCTCTCTCTCTCTCTCTCTCTGTGTGTGTGTGTGTGTGTGTGTGTGTGTGTGTGCCCCAAAAGCAGAACAGCTAATAACTTCTTGGTTTCCTTTAATTATCATTTCATTCTTCAAAAGGGGAATTATGGTTAGATTTGGTTTAAGGGACTGGGGACATATAGGCAAAAGAAGACTAGGGGATAGGGATCAGTCGGGGAAATGATAGCTGTGTTGCAGTAGAATGTGATCTTCTTGAAGGAAGCTACGGTTTCCCATTTTTGTCTTTGTATTCTCAACACTAAGCATGGAGTTTTGCACATAGTTGATATTTGAATAAATGTCTGTTGAACTGAACTGAAGTATTTGAAGAGTTATCACATGGAAGGGACACTTGTTCTGTGTGGCACCAGAGGACATAATGAGGAGTAACAGGGGGAAAGTGCAGAGGTGGATTTAGGCTTATTGGAAGAAGTCATTTCCTAATGATTAGAGCTATGCCAAAGTGGAATGGGTTGTCTTGGAAGGTGGTGGATAGCTCCCCAAAGTGAGTGGGAGCCCCAAGAGAGGTCTTCAAGCAGAAGCCAGATTACTATTTGGTGGGTAGATTGTAGACAAGGTATTCAGTCAGGTAAGGTTTGGGATAAACGGCCTCTCTAGTACCTTCCAGCTTTGAAAGCCTGTGATTCTATGTAGTGCCAAATGAGAGACACAGAGATCTATGAGATCTTGGAGAAGACTATTCCCTTCGAGCTAGTGTCATCAAGTACTTCACGCTTTGGCAGGTGGGATTTTCTCCCACTCAGCCTTATTTTCTCAAGCATTGAGAGCAGCCTGGTAAGCAGTCCTTAGGACATGACTGAACAACAACCCAACTTGATTTCTATGTGAGAGGGACTGCATGGGTTGTTCCAACCCAAAACACACTACCCGTTCTCCCTATTCCTTCCTCTTAATCTCTCCAATAAATATCTATCCCAAGAGCTAAACATTATTAACAGCAAGCACCAAAAGGATTAGTAAAGAGATAAGCTAGAAGGGGACATCTGACTTGAGCTCACCTCTCAAAGATCTACAAGAATCCCAGGTTTCAGTAATCAATCAATAAAGATTTATTAAGTGCCCACTATGTGCCAGGCATTGTGCACAATGGGAACTAACATCAGTGAAATAAGCATAAAGTGTAAACTGATGATTTCATTAGCATAGGGAACTCCTAAGTAAGGAAAGTCCCACTACCAAATCAGGAGAGCGCTTTCTCTGCAACTTATCATCTTAATGAATTGCCTAGGGTCCTGAGATGTTAAGTGACTTGCTCAGGGTCACAGAGCCAATGTATGTAAAATTGGAATTTAGACTTAGATCATCATGGTTTCAAGGGTACTTTTCTATTTGCTATGCAGCTGTGTAATCCTGGACAAGTCACATAACATCTCAGTGACCCAGACAACTCTCTAAGAGGAGTATGAGTTGTAGGGAAGGTGCCACCTGAATTGGTAGAAGGAGCTCCTCAGAGCAATGAAACTACAGGTCAATAACAGCGTTGTTCTTGTTGTTGAGTCGTTTCAGTTGTGTCTGACTCTTCATGACTCCATTTGAGGCATTTTTTTTTTTGCAAAGATAATGGAGCAGTTTGCCATTGTCTTCTCCAGCTCATTTTACAGATGAGGGAACTGAGGCAAACAGAGTTAAGTGACTTGCCTAGGATCATATAGCTAGTAAGTGTCTGAGGCCACATTTAAACCCAGGTCTTCCTAACTTCAGGCCTGGCACTCTGTCCATTGCACCACCTAGCTGTCCCCCCAGTGACAGCAGACTTTCACAATAATACTGATTACTAGTGCAGTGGATAGAGCACCGGCCTAGACAGGAAGACCTGAGTTCAAATCTGGACGTAGGCATTTACTAGCTGTGTGACCCTGGGCAAGTCACTTAACCTTGTTTGCCTCAGTTTCCTCATCTGTAAAATGAGCTGCAGAAGGAACTGGCAAACTACTCCAATGTCTTTGCCAAGAAAACCCCATATGGGATCACGAAGAGTCAGACACAACTGCCAATGAACAACAACAACAACAACAACAACAACTCTGGTATGGAACTGAATATAAGGGGGACTCTATTTCAGGTCAGCCCCTTCCAAAATAGTTTTATCACTGAAGGACATCATTATAAAATAATCTCATCTCTATATCTATGGGATATTGTAAGTTCATTGAGAGTGGGGGCAGTTTCTTTATGTCCTTGTATGCCCAGTACCTACTCACCCATACTGCTGACGCCACATTGCAGAATTCTGGCACAAAGAGTGTTATAGCAGGGGCAGTGTTAAATGGAAACACCTCAGGGTTTCCAATTTCCATTGTCCTCTACCACCACTCTTGGTTAGATCCATTTCCAGGCCTTTGCTCTGGGTACCTCCCATCCCTGGAATGCATTTCATTCTCACCTCAGTCTCCACAGTCCCTCATCACCTTCCAAATGAGGCTCAGGAACCACCTTCTATGAAAATCCCTTCCCCATCTTCCCTTCCTTATATTCAATTACCTTGTATTTATTGTGCATTTATTCTGTATGCATGCATGTATATGTATGTATATGTGCATATGTGTGTACTTACACATATATCTATATATACCTATATAGATATCTCTCTACTTTCCTACATAGATACAGATATTAATGTCTAAATCTATCTATCTATCTATTTATCTATCTTGTTTCCCCTGATAGAAGATAAGGTCCTTGTGAGGAAGAATTCTTTCATATTTTTCTTTGAATCAGCAATTTGTATGGTGTCTGGCACAGAGTAGGCATTTATTGAT